CCATTTCCTAATAATTGCTCCCACAGTTGATTTCTTCAAACCAAGCTGCTTACCTATTGCAGATTCAGTCTTCCCAGCCTGGTGCAGGTCTACAATTTTGTTTCTGGTGTCCTTTGACAGCTCTTTGGTCTTCGCCATAGTGGAGTTTGGAGTGTGACTGTTTGAGGTTGTGAACAGGTGTCTTTTATACCGATAACAAGTTCAAACAGGTGCCATTAATACAGGTAACAAATGGAGGACAGAGGAGCCTCTTAAAGAAGAAGTTACAGGTCTGTGAGAGCCAGAAATCTTGCTTGTTTGTAGGTGACCAAATACTTATTTTCCACCATAATTTGCAAATAAATTCATTAAAAATCCTACAATGTGATTTTCTGGAATTTTTTTCCTCAATTTGTCTGTCATAGTTGACGTGTACCTATGATGAAAATTACAGGCCTCTCTCATCTTTTTAAGTGGGAGAACTTGCACAATTGGTGGCTGACTAAATAAAATTTTTCCCCACTGTATGTGTACATTTATTTTGCAACACTTGCACACGTAATGCGAGCGGTGTGTTCAGCATGCATGAACAGGATCAACAAGTGACGTGAGGCGACGCACTGGACCTGATTTTATTTGTACAGTGCTCAAAGACAATGTGCTGCGTGATTAAGAATGTAAATTACAGTTGTGTAAAGTACCTAAGTAAAAGTACTAAAAGTACCAATTAAGTAGTGTTTTGGGGTGTATGTTCTTTACTATTCATATTTTTGAGAACTTTTACTTCTCTACATTCCTAAAGAAAATATTGTACTTTTTACTCCATACATTTTACCTGACTACCAAAAGTACTCATTCAATTTTTTATGCTTAGCAGGACAGGAAAATGCTCAAATTCAAACACTTATCAAGAGAACACGTGGTCATCCCTACTCCCTCTGGCCTGGTGGACTCACTAAACACAAATGCATCTTTTGTAAATAATGTCTGAGTGTTGGAATGTGCCGCTGGCTATCCATACATTTTAAAAATATGAAAATGGTGCTGTCTGCTTTGCTCAATATAAGGCATTTTAAATGATTTATACTTTTGATACTTAAGTAGATTTTACAATTACAGTTACTTTTGATACTTAAGTATATTTAAAACCGAATACTTTTAGACTTTTACTCAAGTAGTGTTTTACTGGCTGACTTTCACTTTTACTTCAGCAACTTTCCATTAAGGTATCTATACTTTTTCTCAAGTATGACAATTGGGTACTTTTTCCACCACTGGTCAATTATCTCTCCTTAGATTACTTACTTGATTTACCTCTTGACTCCCTTGGTAGCATAAGGTGTCCACCATGACTCTCTCCACCTCTTTTCTGAACTATGGCTTTTGCCTCATGCCTGGTTTATGTTGGTTATTTTATTGGGTAGCCAGGATACAGTGTGGGAACACCTGCAGTGCTTACTATTTTCAGTAGATGGTAATGTTCAACCAGTTAAAATGTACCCGGTCAAAATGTGTAGTACTGTGTGTATCACTGAAAATCATATAATAATAATATGCCATTTAGCAGACGCTTTTATCCAAAGCGACTTACAGTCATGCGTGCATACATTTTTGTGTATGGGTGGTCCCGGGGATGAAACATAAGGACTAAAAAGTGCAGGTTATATTACACAGATTATATTAACGTTAGATTATATTGATGTGGTACTTGAGATGTTATAGAGACGTTGCTGAGATGTTTGTGTACACTGCCTCACCTCAAATCCCTGACTACAGTTTGTTTGTTTGCAGCACTCCTAACTGGCCCGAGATGATGTCACATGGGGTATTTGGAAGCCCAGTAGAGTCCCTGTAGATGGAGCCATTTCCCTGATATGTAGACCCCATAGCACCAGGCCCTGGAACCTGCCTTAACTAACACCTATAGCCTGTCATAACACACACACAAACCTTGCCATGCCATAACCGGGAAAATGAAGTGTCATCAAGGACAGACCATCTGAAGAGTTTTGTGATTACTGCATCATTGGTTACTGGACATGTGTAGGCGATACCTTATCTCAAAGTTTTTTGTTTGTTTGTTTAAGACAACTTTGTTTAGGCAGGGTAACAATTCCTGTGAAGGCATTCATTATGAAACTGTATTGCAACAGACAACCTCTTGCCAGACAAAATTCTTGCACAAGCATCACAGGCACAAATAACGTTATAAATCCACAGCCTGTGACCATTTACATGTGCTATATTTGTGGTGGTGTGATGTGCTACTTTCCACTGTGATCTTTCTCACAACTGATGCTCTACTTTACCATACATTGAGTGGGCTATAAGTCATACGTTTATTTTGTTCCTGTGATCTTCACTGCCATTACATTGAACATTTCCACAGAAGTCACAGCTTTAGAACAAAAAGGAAGTTCAGCAGCTGAATACTGTAATCATGACATTTTACTAGAAGATAGTTACACTAATGGATTGACCAGGGGAGCAACTTTCACTGGGGACGGGGAGGGACATGTCCCACCACCATTCTGAAATTGTGTCCTGTCCCCAGTTTTATGCTTAGAATATGATACAAAACGAGGCTAGGTGTGCTTTAGGACCATGCAGACGCCTCCGAAAGGTCGGGTAGGCTGTTTGGAGTGTTTATGTCCCCCACTTCTAAAACCAAAGTTGCGCCCCTGGGATTGACCATTCATGTATACAATAACACACTAGGCCTAGCTGGAGTTGTTAGCTTGCACTTGTGGCAGCATGCATTATACTGTGCTGTGAGCTGTGTCACTGATTTCATAAAAAAACAAACCGTGCAATTCATATTTTACACAGACCATAGCTACAGTCAAAGTTATGTCATGATATGTTGGATGCTTTTCTGTATTTGATACTGTTAAGTTTAATCAATTGGTCCGGGAGAATGCTGCAACTGTTCAGGTGCTCTACAAAAAGTATCTTACCACTGGTCTGCATCTTGAGGTGGTCTTAGTTTTGAAAGACAGTTTCTGTTCTGACATGACAAGGTCACGCTATGTACTGAAATATAAACCAACCACATAGGAAAAGTCTATATCAATATTACACAAGCAACAGCTACATTCTCAACCAGGATTATAATGATCAGAATAACATTCAGACAACAGTAAATCCCAGAGCCAACTAGGTGAAAAATATGTTGATGTGCCCATGAGCAAGGCACTTAAACCTAATTGCTCCTGTAAGTCGCTCTGGATAAGAGCGTCTGCTAAATGACCAAAAAATAATAATAATAATAATAACCTGCAGTTGGAGGTCTGGTTTAGATAGTCAGCATAAACCTCTGGGGAAAACAAAACAGATTTACTGCACAGCCAATGTTATATGTCCTGATTTATTCTTAACCACTTTTAAATTTACAAGACATCATACATTTGTCACAGAATAAGGACAACAGTAATAAACAGAGGAAGTTAAAATTGGTCTGCATCCCACATTCAACATATGTTGTGAGAGGATAAATACTCAAAATGTGATATATTTAAATAAAGATGTATATTTTGATGAAATATATTTGTAATTGAATTGAATGTGCACTGGTGGTCATGAGTCTGGTACCGTTGCTGAATAGTAGACACTGGTCTTCTTTCTTTGCACAGTAGAACAGTCCACAATCATCCATCTACTGTTACATTCTGTATTAATCTATTTCCTGTTTCTAATGAATATTAATAAAAAGCAGCAGGACTACTATTATTGAAAGAGTGGAGTATAGCCAGTGGAGGCTGTGGTTGGCGATGTCTGTGCCAGTATGCTTCACCTACACTAAAAGAACAGTTTAGGGTTGCATTATGTCCAAGTTCCACCTCTGTCACTGTCAAACCATCAGCTCCCTGACAGCAGAGACCTATAAACAAAACACATGACCTATTTGATTTGCTTCTCAATCACATTCAATATCACATGTAGTATCTAAACAATCGTCTTACAGATATCCCACAACTCTCAACATCGTCTCAAATGTGTGTTGTCGATTGGGTTGGTTTCCTGTTTGTGTAGCAGCTGTCTGTTTGAGCGCTCTATGCTGCTGTAAGCCTAAAGAAAAAACAAGGGTGCTAAAGGTCAGACCAATCACAGTCATGTCCACTTTGCCTATAGTCTTACTCATTGCAGGGCTACATTATTTTATTTGACAGTTACTAAATCCAATAACTGAATTTTAATTCAATAGCAATTTATTTTATTGACCCCCTTCATATAGGCATGTCTTTATAGTCAGTTAGCTTTCAGCTTACATTACTAGTGGAACACCTAACTTAAGTAGTCAAGTTAACTAAGTTAAAACTTCAAAAAGTTATAAAAAAACACAAACATAATGATGTGTAAGGTCATTGTTAACTTGCTTAAAGTTTCCACATGAAGCACAAGACTGTGCAAAGTGTGAAGAGGAAGTGGTGAGCATAGTTCATCTGTTGCTTAATGACCACATTCGCATTATGCAGAAGGTCAAAGGTACAAATATACAGAGCAGGAAATTCTATTGAAAAAGGCCCCTCTATCTGGTATTAAAGCTAGAATCCTTAGTTGCTACATCCATTTTTGGACTTTTGTTATAAATTAATGATACGCCCATTGATTCTTGAGGAATATAAGTTATAAATGCCTCATGAGTTAGTTCAACTGTCGTACCCCATCAGAACCCAAAATATAAGCTTTGTTTGTAAATAAACACTGTGTAGCCTCAAAGCATGGTTAAAACTATAATGTTTTAAATCATGGATGCTGTCCATAGCTCTGTCTACAAATTTGAGTGGTTACATTTCTCCAGGCCCATCCTTAGGCTTTTTACCAAAATTGAGGCGGGGTGTCCACTATGTTATTGTTTCAATTAAGGATTCTAGCTTTAAGACACACCTTGTGACCTTGATGACCATTTAGTGATAGGTTACTGGTACCACTGCCATTAAAACATGCTGTTTATAAATGCTTTGTTTTGTGGACAATCTTAATTTGAAGGCAATGTAGGTAGAGTACTTCAAATAAGAGGTGGTTTATTCCAAAACAGAGATTTAATGTTGTATTTTTCATGAAGAGTTTGAAAAACGTGCAACACACTGATGTTTGAAAAAAGTGCAGCACACTGACATGACCTTTCTTACAGTGGTCTTAACTTAAACAACTAAAATATACCAACCACTACTTTCTACTCACAAAGGTGTTATAGGGCACATGCAGTTGGCTCTTTAATGAACTTAACATTTCCAACTTTAATTGAATGCTTGAAAAAGTCAGTATTAAAAATTGTAAATTGTACAATAATTGGGACACGTGTGCTGCTCAGTAAGCGGCTAAGCTCTCAAACAGGATATGTGTGGTTGATGCATCATCAATACACTACAAAAGCCTTGGGGGCTTTTTCTACAGAAATACACAAACCTCTTCCTCACTGTTTCACAAAAAAAGAGAATATTTACTTTCAAGACAGGCACAAATGAAAACTTATTTCCAGCAATGAATAATGAAAAACATGAATCAAGACACAAAAGTAACAATTTCCTTGAAAGATATTGCTGACTGGTATAAAGACCATAGTGACAAAGAGCAGCATTATATACTGTATACAAAGATATGAATATTCACAGTTGATTCACATTATCTACCAAAGTCATATTGTAGTTCACATTATCCACCAAAGTCATAACTATTATCATAATAGCCCAGATATATTAAACCCAGACTGAAGAGGAAGGGTAGATACAGATTTGGCACCTTATTAAGCACTAGTTGTGAGTTCCGGATTTGGAAACTGAACTCTGGAGTAAATAGTTGAGGCTATGCGGTCTGGCCTTGGTCCTCTTGGTGGGGGTACCAGCTGTATCAAGCAATACTGAAAAACAATGTGGATATGAGTGTAAACCACCTGTCCCTCATAAATGTAGACATGTTATGATATCCATATTCCCACTACAGATACAGATATCCATATTCCCACTACAAATGTAGATACTGACCTCTGGCCCGTCTGCCCTTTCAGGTGGTTCAGGAGTTGGAGGAGAGTCATGGTTCTTCTGGCAAGCAGCTCTCTTCCACAGCACTAAAATGGCTAAGATTACCCATATAGATGGAATTAGTATAGACTATTGTGATCACACATCACTGAGTAACATCTTACATATTGCAGTGGGTTTTGGGTCTGCATGCAGACAAAAGTACAGGAACAGATAGTCCTAACATTACATGTAAAGGCAGGAAAGGTATCCAGTCTAAAGAAAAGTTTTAGATAATAAATAAAATAATATGCCATTTAGCAGACACTTTTAACCAAAGCGACTTACAGTCATGAGTGCATACATTTTACGTATGGGTGGCACCGGGAATCAAACCCACAACCCTGGCGATGCAAGTGCCATGCTCTACCAACTGAGCCACACAGTACCACCAATATGTTACTAGGTTACTAACAAACCCCATTTTAAGAGTGTAGAAACACACCTGACACCAATAAAATGAGAACTGCATTCAAGACCCCAGATCCAATGAGAAGACCTTTTAACCACATTGTGTTGAAGTCTCTGGGTTTCTCTGAGGCTTCAGGATCAACTGAAATTGGCAAAAAAAATAAAAATTATGTACTGCATTTTATTTCAACAACATTTGATAGCCTAAATAAGCACAATATATTTACACTCATTAAAACACCTTCCAGACTATTCAAGTCACAATTAAATCAGTAGAAAAATTATAAACACATAACCACTTACGGAGCTTCAAACTTGTGTTTCTTGTTTCATTCATTGATTTGAGACCTGCAGGGTTATGGAAAATATGTATAGCCTACATCCACTTTGAGTTATGTTACTCAAAGTGGATGTAAAATGTCTGTAGTGGTCTTGCACCTTGCTGCGTTAAACATGAACAAAAACACTTCACAAAATTATATTTTACACAAAATATAGTATGTTGATCATTGAATAAAATGTGCACTTACCAGTGGTCATGAGTCTGGTTCCATTGCTGAATAGGAGAATCTCTCTTTCTTTCTTTGCACAGTAGTACACTCCATTCTCATCTACTGTTACATTCTGTATTAACAATCGATTTCCTGTTTCTAATGAATATTTCTGTCTAAAATGATTATTGTAATAAAAAGCAGCAGGACTACTACTAGTGAAAGAGCGGAGTATGGCCAGTGGAGGCTGTAGTTGGTGCTGTATGTACCAGTGTACATTATTTACAGTAAGAGAACAGTTCAGAGTTGCATTGTGTCCAAGTTCTACCAGTGTCTCTGTCAAAGCCTCAGCTCCAACACACAGTTTTAAAACACCTAAGAAGAAAATAATCCATGAGACACTTCATTTATTGTAAATTGAATGTCAAATAAATAAGATAAGAAAAATAAATGGTCTTACAGAACAGACAGGCAACAATCCTCGACATCTTCAGAGCTGTGATAAATCTGAGACTGAAATGACTTCCTCCTAACAGACATCTGTCTGAACACACTGTGCAACCACATGATCAAACCATAGTTTGCAAAAAGCTAAAAGAAACACTCTTTAATGAAGAGCATTGAGGAAGTGAATATGTTTCCTTTAATAACACTGTGGTGTCCAAGTAATCAACTTTCTAATTGAAAGGTTGACTGAAATAACATTTTCACTGTGCAGCACATGTTCAATCTCAAGTTCTCAACAAAACATCTGTCATTTGGTAGTACAATATTAATGACTGATCTGGAGATATTTCAATAACTTGGTAAGTAAACCTGCATCTTGTTGACAAGAGGGACACACTGACAAAATCCTATTTCTATGCCATTTCCAATTTCCAATTTCGATTTAACATATGACCCTGGTTTAAAAAAAATATTATGCATTTACTCAGCAATAAATATTGTATTAAAAGTGCATTAAATATAGTTGACAAAAAGCAAAACTTACATAAGTGCAGTTACTGTGGTTCTATCAGTAAACACACTGTGACTACAGGCAATTTGGAAAAACTTTTTCCCTCACCTCTTGAAAGGTGGTTCTAGCAAGAGGTATATTTGCAGTCTCCTATTACATACATGTCAGAATAAATACGTATTTCAGCAGTTTAAACACTCAGAACTTGTCAACAGTCTCATAAGTGGCACAAAGACCAATTTCTGTGCTGTAAGTCAAAGGAAGTGGAGAGTTGGACTGAGGAGGAGAAACAGTAAGAGGCTCTGGTTCAGCTCTCTGATACTCATGCTGCTGCTCCTAGGATCAACTTTAGGCTCAGGAGTTGGTTTCTCTGTAAAATAAAGAGGGACATTTCAAATCAAATCAAACCAAATTCTCTTTGTCACATGCGCCGAATACAACAGGTGTAGACCTTACCGTGAAATGCTTACTTACAAGCCCTTAACCAACAATGCAGTTCAAGAAATAACAATGCATTTTCCTTGAGTTATCATACGGTATCATCAACTTCTTAAAACTGTTAATGGAAATTCCAATACTGTATAGATAAGCTAAGGCTGAATCATGACCATTCTCAATTAATTGTATGTTAAACTTGGTTGTAATGCAAACCTTGAACCGAAAGTTCCACTTGACGAAGAATGTTCATTGTTGGTATGAAACATGAATAACTCCCACTATCGCTGTCCTTGAGATCAGTCAGTAGGAGAGAGAAGTTGCCCTTTGCCCATTCCTCAGGGAACATCCTGGTTCTGTCTCTGAACTGACGGTCTTGGTCTTTCAAGTCTGCTTTTCCACTGACAATATTGTAGACATTACGGTCATCCTTGTATCGCCAAAATATGGTGACCTCTTCAATAGGCATCGCATTGTACCGACATGGTAAAATAACCTTCCCTCTTGTAAAACCTTCAACTCTCTCCTGTGAAGAGACTACAAAACACAGATATCAAAATTAGCCTCCAATGAATCCATCTGACACAGACATCAATATGCCGTGTTGCACATGCAGAATCAGAACAAACAACAACATAACGTATGACTGATATTAATACCTTGGAGTTCCATCAACAAGATGACACAAACCGGCAACCAGCACCTGTGGAGTAGTGATAGAACATGTTATGGCTGGGAACAAGACTAGCAGGGTTATAAACACAGTGGTCTGGCTGAATATGAAAGAAAGGCTGAGCAACCAATCATAATACAGATGTGAATGGCCCATATTGGCACTGACAGGTGGGTGCATTCCAAAGGAGTAGAGTCAACCTAAAGGACATGTTGCAACAGATGATACGTTCCTCCCCATTGCACATTTTCCATAGGCCTAGTTTTATCTCTGCCTAAGGAACTGTTACTTTACTGTACTTGAAATGCCTTCGACTAGACTGCATGCATATATAAAAGTATGTGTAAAGCAACAATGTAGTCTACGTATAAACTAGCCAAAACAAAAGATGCAGTGAAGTGTGTGTTATAGGCTAACTTGTGAGAGCAGGTGACGAACGGTAAGAGGTCTCTGAAGTACAGGCCTATCCACTTTATTTGAGATAGCAGGGACCTTCCTCACTACCTAGACAGGCCTACTTGCTACATACTGAAAGTTAGGCTACATTTGTTGAGTGGACTAAAGTCGTGGGAGGGACAACACTCAACCTATGTGCCTTGGGTGGGTTGGCAAGCTAGCTAATGATTAATGTTTGGTTAGCTATGATCCATCTCTGTCTAACAGACCAAGGTCAGGCTCCTCACAGCCATATGAACTAGTAGCTAGCTAGATAATTGGCCACGTTTAGGCTACTTCAGCTAGTTAGCTCCTGACAATTAAGAATTCGACATAGTTATGTTCTTATAGATAAGTCAGCTGGCCAGTTAAGGAAGTTAGGCAACGCTAGCTAGCTACCGTTAGTTGCTCAAGTAGCTAATTTACATATCAGATAAAAATAAAAGCAGGCCTAATGAATTCGTTAGCTAGCCTAGATCTAACTAACACTTCTGCTAAGTTAACTACAATAACTTGGGTCTTGCTTTGTCTTTGTACCCAACGTTATAAGGTTATCTATCAACAGCATCTGTTTAACTGGTTAGCTAGCTACCAACGTGGTTAGTTCACAACACCAATCGTACAAATAAATATACCTTTTATCCATTTCTTCTTAACCTTACGTATACGACACCTTATAGGTACTTAGCTAGCTAACAATTACTAATTGTGATAGCTATATGTTGTAACGTTAATTTAGGCTATAGATACTGAAGTATTGCACTGCCCAACCTCATTACTTACGTCATTCCATTGAACATTTTGGATATCACGAAAAGGGGGTAAAATACAACAACAAAAAAGATTGTCCGGTGTACACAAAGAGAATACGTTCAATGGGACTACGTGGTTTAGGTGGCTGCACAGTACAAGGCTTCCGTATCTATAGCCTTAATTAACGTTACATTTTTTATGCATTATCCACTTATGTATCACCAGAGCTGATCCATAAATTCCTTTTTTGTGTCGATTAATTGGCTTTGCCTACACTACACGCCACGCCACTTGTAGGCCTATTAATACATCTACCAGACCCGTTTGGCGCACCAAAGAGCGCAAACAGGTTGAGCGTGAACACACTTTCACAAATTTCCTTGTCTTCTTCTTCTTTGGGATTTGGTTGTCGGAACGCATCTAACTTTTAGGTGCACACACACCGCCACCTACAATACTGATGTGTGAGGCCATTCAAGGCCTACCTACATTATATTATTTGATACAATAATACACACTTGGGGAAAAGTTAAATTGCCCTATCACCTACTAGCCCTCTAAAAATCCACCCCCCATTCCACTATTTAACCATATCTAGTCCTACTCCAGACCAACGGTCTGAGAGGACATATAAGTACCACTCAACACCCCCTCAATTTCTGCAGTACAATTAACAACCATGGCTATAAATGCAAAAAATCCCACTTTACTGAAGCACATGTTCTTCCCATCACTCTCTCTTGGTCTCTGCCTACTCACATGAATCCTCTCAGGATCCCTCACCCGGTACCAATCTTCCTCTACCACTCTCTTCACTGCTTCCCCATACAACACTTCCTGTACTACTCTAACCCTGGCAACCTCAATCTGCCTTCAGTCACCGGACACACACACACAACTTTCTGCACTGATACCACACTTTCCTTCATCTCATGCCCTCCTGCACACTTCTCACATCTATGCATCTCCCTCCTACACACTGCTGCAATATGCCCACAACCTTGACACCTAAAACATTGTCATATTTTCAGAACATAAGCTCTCATGGGATAACTGACACGTCCTACCTTGACCTTATCTGGTAACGACTCTGCATCAAAACTCAGCATAACAGATGTCTTCTCCGTTTCCCCACCGGATCTACGGCTCACCAAACGTTGGGCGTCACAGACACCGGGAATCTTCCATTTCAACTGCTCCTCCTCAACACTTAATGCTACCCCCGTAATCACTCCTTTCAACGGCACCCTGCTCCGGAGAGCAAAGCACGTCACAATTCTTGTCCCTAATCTCGTAATCCGGAGCGCCCTCTCCCTCTGGGCGGAGGAAACATAATAAATCATCATGAATCCACTCCGAGTTACCTTCACCAACTCAACAGTCCTCAACCTCTCCTCCACCCAACCTGACACCACATATGGATTAACCAAAACGCCAGGATCCATTATCTCTGCAAATCTCACTCCCACTGGGCCAAAATCATCCTTATCATCCTTGGGACGAGGCCCGAACTTGGTGGTCCTCGCCGCAGGTACTACACCCTCACTCTCAACAAGTTCCATCTCTGAACTACTGGAGCACGTATCTCTATTTGCAGATGTTGTACCTCAGACCCTAGTCCACATCATCTGAGTTTTTTGTGTTGTGCCTGCCATCGGTTGAGACACAACATGCTCTTGAATACAGGGTGGGTGCTATTTCATTTGGGTGTTAGGTAGCCTAGTGGATAAAGCGTTGGGACAGTAACAGGAAGGTCGCTGGTTTGAATACCTGAGCCGACATGTTGAAAACTCTGTCGATGTGTTCTTGAGCAAGGCACTTAATCCTCATTTTCTCAAAGGAGCGCCGTACTACTATGGCTGACCCTGTAAATCAATACATTTCACTGCACCTATCCAGTGTATTTGACAATAAAACAAAACCTTAGATCATGTAAAATGGGGTCTAAGCTACAACATATGCGATTGTGAATATGAAATAAAACGGAGTTCATTTACGTTAACGTTTAAAACCTTACATTTCAAAATATAATAATACTTTTCCCCCCAGAAATTATAGAATAGTTTCACAACCCTGGTTCTAAGCTTTTAGAAGCTCCTTAGATTCATGAACAGCACCAACAAGCGATGTGACACACTGGACCAAAGTTTATGGTACAGTGCTCAAAGACAATGTGCTGCTGGATTAAGAATGTAAATTATCTCTCCTAGATGACTTACTTGATTTACCTCTTGACTCCCTTGGTAGCATAAGGTGTCCACCATGACTCTCTCCACCTCTTTTCTGCGCTATGGCTTTTGCCTCTTGCCTGGTTTCTGTTGGTTATTTTGTTGGGTTGCCAGGATACAGTGTGGGAACACCTGCAGTGCTTACTATTTTCAGTAGATGGTAATGTTCAACCAGTTAAAATGTACCCGGTCAAAATGTGTAGTACTGTGTGTATCACTGAAAATCATGATGACACATAAGGACTAAAAAGTGCAGGTTATATTACACAGATTATATTAACGTTAGATTATATTGATGTGGTACTTGAGATGTTATAGAGACGTTGCTGAGATGTTTGTGTACACTGCCTCACCTCAAATCCCTGACTACAGTTTGTTTGTTTACAGCACTCCTAACTGAAATGAGAGGATGATGTCACAGGGGGTATTTGGAATCCCAGTAGAGTCCCTGTAGATGGAGCCATTTCCCTGATATGTAAACCCCATAGCACCAGGCCCTGGAACCTGCCTTAACTAACACCTATAGCCTGTCATAACACACACACACACACACCTTGCCATGCCATAACCGGGAAAATGAAGTGTCATCAAGGACAGACCATCTGAAGAGTTTTGTGATTATTGCATCATTGGTCCAGAAACTATGGCTAAATCATTATACATTATTTACTGGACATGTGTAGGCTATACCTTATCTCAAAGTTTTGTTTTTTTGTTGTTGGTTTAAGACAACTTTGGCAGGGTAACAATTCCTGTGAAGGCATTCATTATAAAAGTGTATTGCAAAAGACAACCTCTTGCCAGACAAATTCTTGCACAAGCATTACAGGCACAAATACCGTTATAAAATCACAGCCTGTGACAATTTACATGTGCTATTTTCCACTGTGCTTTTATTTTTTTATTTTTGTTGAGCTCTTTCTCACATCTGCTGTTCTACTTTACTTTCAACTGAGTGGGCCATGAGTCATACCTACTGTTCTACTTTACCTTCAACTGAGTGGGCCATGAGTCATACCTACTGCTCTACTTTACCTTCAATTGAGTGGGCCATGAGTCATACCTACTGCTCTACTTTACCTTCAACTGAGTGGGCCATGAGTCATACCTACTGTTCTACTTTACCTTCAACTGAGTGGGCCATGAGTCATACCTACTGTTCTACTTTACCTTCAACTGAGTGGGCCATGAGTCATACCTACTGCTATACCTTACCTTCAATTGAGTGGGCCATGAGTCATACCTACTGCTCTACTTTACCTTCAACTGAGTGGGCCATGAGTCATACCTACTGCTCTACTTTACCTTCAACTGAGTGGGCCATGAGTCATACCTACTGCTCTACTTTACCTTCAACTGAGTGGGCCATGAGTCATACCTACTGTTCTACTTTACCTTCAACTGAGTGGGCCATGAGTCATACCTACTGTTCTACTTTACTTTCAACTGAGTGGGCCATGAGTCATACCTACTGCTCTACTTTACCTTCAACTGAGTGGGCCATGAGTCATACCTACTGTTCTACTTTAACTTCAACTGAGTGGGCCATGAGTCATACCTACTGCTCTACTTTACCTTCAACTGAGTGGGCCATGAGTCATACCTACTGTTCTACTTTACTTTCAACTGAGTGGGCCATGAGTCATACCTACTGCTCTACTTGACCTTCAACTGAGTGGGCCATGAGTCATACCTACTGCTCTACTTGACCTTCAACTGAGTGGGCCATGAGTCATACCTACTGCTCTACTTTACCTTCAACTGAGTGGGCCATGAGTCATACCTACTGCTCTACTTTACCTTCAACTGAGTGGGCCATGAGTCATACCTACTGCTCTACTTTACCTTCAACTGAGTGGTCCATAAGTATTCCTACTGTTCTACTTTAACTTCAACTGAGTGGGCCATGAGTCATACCTACTGTTCTACTTTACCTTCAACTGAGTGGGCCATGAGTCATACCTACTGTTCTACTTTACCTTCAACTGAGTGGGCCATGAGTCATACCTACTGCTCTACTTTACCTTAAACTGAGTGGGCCATGAGTCATACCTACTGCTCTACTTTACCTTCAACTGAGTGGGCCATGAGTCATACCTACTGCTCTACTTTACCTTCAACTGAGTGGGCCATGAGTCATACATTTATTTTGTTCCTGTGATTTTCACTGCAATTTCATTGAACATTTCCACAGAAGTCACAGCTTTAGAACAAAAAGGAAGTTCAGCAGCTGAATACTGTAATCATGACATTTTACTAGAAGATAGTTACACTAATGGATTGACCAGAGGAGCAACTTTCACTGGGGACGGGGAGGGACATGTCCCACCACCATTCTGAAATTGTGTCAAAAAGGTCGGGTAGGCTGTTTGGAGAGTTTATGTCCCCCACTTCTAAAACCAAAGTTGCGCCCCTGGGATTGACCATTCATGTATATAATAACACACTAGGCCTAGCTGGAGTTGTTAGCTTGCACTTGTGGCAGCATGCATTATACTGCAATAGTAATTATTGATACAAGTTCAGAATGTAATCCTCTTGATGGTGCTGTGAGCTGTTGATTTCATTAAAAAACAAACAATGCAATTCATATTTTACAAAGACCATAGCTACAGTCAAAGTTATGTAATGATATGTTGTATGCTTTTCAGTATTTGATACTGTTAAGTTTCATCAATTGGTCCGGGAGAATTCTGCAACTGTTCAGGTGCTCTACAAAAAGTATCTTACCTCTGGTCTGCATCTTGAGGTGGTCTTAGTTTTATAAGACAGTTTTTGTTCTGACATGACAAGGTCACGATATGTACTGAAATATGAACCAACAACATAGGATATGTCAATATCAACATTACACAAACAACATCTACATTGTCAGCATACAACATTAAAATGTTAAACTATTTAAAACGTTTACATTTAGATGTAAATCTAGTACAGTATATAGAAATATGTATATTCATAGAGTTGATTTACATTATCCACCAAAGTAATATCCTAATTATTGTATGGCATCACAATAGCCTCAACCTTGTCTGGGTATTAGTCTTTTTAGCTAACATTCCACTCCTTGCCACTCCTGTCTTTGGCAAATAACAGGAGTGGCAAGGAGTGGAATTATAGCTAAAGAGACTGGTACCCAGGTAAGGAGTGGAATTATAGCTAAAGAGACTGGTACCCAGGTAAGGAGTGGAATTATAGCTAAAAGAGACTGGTACCCAGACTTTGCCCAGGTATGATTTGAAAAGGAAGGGTATATGCAGATTTGGCACCTTATTAAGCACTAGTTGTGAGTTCAGGATTTGGAAACTGGACTCTGGAGTAAATAGTTGAGGCTATGCGGTCTGGCCTTGGTCCTCTTGGTGGAGGTACCAGCTGTATCACTTCATACTGAAAAACAATGTGGATATGAGTGTAAACCACCTGTCCCTCATAAATGTAGACATGTTATGATATCCATATTCCCACTACAGATACTGACCTCTGGCCCGTCTGCCCTTTCAGGTGGTTCAGAGGTTGGAGGAGAGTCATGGTTCTTCTGGCAAGCAGCTCTCTTCCCCAGCACTGAAATGGTTAAAATTAGGCCTAACCACATAAATATGGAATTAGTAGGTACAGTACGTAAAAGCTGTTGTATGCATGTCACTGAGTACATCTTAAACATTGCAGTGCCTCCACACAAAATTACAGGCATATGCAAAATTACATGTAAAGGCAGGAAAGAAAGAACTTTAGAAAGAGCTATATCTGTATTAAACTATACATAAATGTTCCTAAACACACCTGACACCAATAACATCCGAACTTCATTCAAGACCCCAGATCCAATGAGAATACATTTTAGCCACGTTGTGTCCATGGATTGCTCTGAAGTTTCAGATTCAACTGAAATTGATAAACATACTATAATCAAAATGACTGCATTTTATTTAAACAAAATGTGATGAACTAAATACATTTTGTATAATTAAGACACCTTGAAGACTATTGAAATCACTATTAAATCAGTAGACAAATTGCAAACATGTTATCACTTACTAGGTCTACTTACTTCTGTTTGTTGTTTTTATTGATTGATTCGCAATCACATGATGTCCTACTACATGGTTATAGAAAATCACTTACTCAAAGTCAATGTATACGATCATAAAGAAAGGTGGACCAAGGCCCTCTTCATATATTTAAAATGTCTTTATTTATATGCCAAGTTCAATGGAAGAAAGATTTAAAAACTCTGACCCTACTACAGCCGAAACGCGTCAGAGTTTTGAAAATATTTGTTCCATTGAACATGGCATTCAAATAAAGGCATTTTAATTATATGAAGAGGGCCTTGATCCTCCTTTCTTTGTGATGACCAGTTGACCCCTTTTACCAAAGAAAGAGCACCTTCTAGACCTACTATAGTGTACACTAGCAGCGCTTCCTTTCCTTAGTTTTCCTCGATGTATACCATTTCTTGTCACTACAATTTCAATGTGTTATAACAATTATGTCACCGCATCATCAATTGACGAGGAAAATAGTCCACACAGTCCTTGCTGGGTTGTGTGTGTTATAAACATGAAAAAGGGCCTATTAAAAATATTTTACAGACAAAATGTTATCATTGAATACTATGTGCGCTTACTAGAGCGTGATGCCATTGCTGAACATGAATTGGTAGTTTTCTTTCTTTGCACAGTAGAACACTCCACAATCATCTACTGTTACATTCTGTATGACCACTCTAAATTCTGTTAGTAATAAATATTTCGGCTTTAACATACTGTATCATGTAAATAAGTAGCATGAGAACTCACACGGAGTATGGCCAGTGGAGGCTGTGGTTGGCTCTGTATGTACCAGTATGTATTCTCTGCACTAGTGGGTGGAAAAGTACAATTTATAGTCACATTGTGCCCAAGTTCCACCAGTGTGTCTGTCAAAGCCTCAGCTCCAACAGTTTTAAGACACCTAAGAACAGAAGAATCCATGAGAAACACTTCACTTAATATGTTAAATAAACAAGTAATGATCTTACAGAACAGACAGGAAACAATCTGTGACATCCTCAGAGCTGTGATCTTTGAGACAGAACTGACTTCCTCCTAAGGCAGACGTCTGACTGAACACACTGTGCCAGTGCTAACCACATGACCTAACCACATGATCTAACCACTGATTATGGATGTGTAGTGTGTGTGTGTCTGATTGACACTGGTGTGACCCTTGTACAGTATGTGGGGGGTGCATGGAGAATGAAGGAATGCAATGCCAGAGCTTTAGTGCTAAAGGTATTTATTTAAAATACTTATATGTAACAATAAAGAACGAAGGTGGGAGTTCAAAAAGTGTGGCACCAACAAATGCGTTAACATTGGAGCAATGACATTTTCACAGGCATGTACTGTAGCTTACTTGATTCCTATGATACAGTGTATATGTCGCGGTAGGGATTTGAATCCTGGTGTCCAACGTCTTGACCATTAGACCAAGAGGAAATTCCCTCTTGGGCCGAGGGTAACGCTGACTTTGAAATCGCAGGCAGGGCTCTCACATCCCCAGAACTTGAGCCAGACTCACGTCCGCTACATATGTATTGCTCAAGGAATGATATTCCACTTCTTCTAAACATCTATGCAGACACAGAGTGCTCCTTTTTCTTTATTTTTCAGGGACATGTCACATGTTGAAGTGTCAAATCCAATCAAATCCAAGATTATTTGTCATATGCAGGATACAGGATACAGCAGGGTGTAAACCATGATTTTTTTTAAAAAACTATCGATAAAGAAAATGTTGAAAAACGTTTTTACAGTAGGTATTATTTATATAAGTGGGAAAATACAGTGGGGAAAAAAAGTATTTAGTCAGCCACCAATTGTGCAAGTTCTCCCACTTAAAAAGATGAGAGAGGCCTGTAATTTTCATCATAGGTACACGTCAACTATGACAGACAAAATGAGAAAAAAAAATCCAGAAAATCACATTGTAGGATTTTTAATGAATTTATTTGCAAATTATGGTGGAAAATAAGTATTTGGTCAATAACAAAAGTTTCTCAATACTTTGTTATATACCCTTTGTTGGCAATGACACAGGTCAAACGTTTTCTGTAAGTCTTCACAAGGTTTTCACACACTGTTGTTGGTATTTTGGCCCATTCCTCCATGCAGATCTCCTCTAGAGCAATGATGTTTTGGGGCTGTCGCTGGGCAACACAGACTTTCAACTCCCTCCAAAGATTTTCTATGGGGTTGAGATCTGGAGACTGGCTAGGCCACTCCAGGACCTTGAAATGCTTCTTACGAAGCCACTCCTTCGTTGCCCGGGCGGTGTGTTTGGGATCATTGTCATGCTGAAAGACCCAGCCACGTTTCATCTTCAATGCCCTTGCTGATGGAAGGAGGTTTTCACTCAAAATCTCACGATACATGGCCCCATTCATTCTTTCCTTTACACGGATCAGTCGTCCTGGTCCCTTTGCAGAAAAACAGCCCCAAAGCATGATGTTTCCACCCCCATGCTTCACAGTAGGTATGGTGTTCTTTGGAATCAACTCAGCATTCTTTGTCCTCCAAACACGACGAGTTGAGTTTTTACCAAAAAGTTATATTTTGGTTTCATCTGACCATATGACATTCTCCCAATCCTCTTCTGGATCATCCAAATGCACTCTAGCAAACTTCAGACGGGCCTGGACATGTACTGGCTTAAGCAGGGGGACACGTCTCGCACTGCAGGATTTGAGTCCCTGGCGGCGTAGTGTGTTACTGATGGTAGGCTTTGTTACTTTGGTCCCAGCTCTCTGCAGGTCATTCACTAGGTCCCCCCGTGTGGTTCTGGGATTTTTGCTCACCGTTCTTGTGATCATTTTGACCCCACGGGGTGAGATCTTGCGTGGAGCCCCAGATCGAGGGAGATTATCAGTGGTCTTGTATGTCTTCCATTTCCTAATAATTGCTCCCACAGTTGATTTCTTCAAACCAAGCTGCTTACCTATTGCAGATTCAGTCTTCCCAGCCTGGTGCAGGTCTACAATTTTGTTTCTGGTGTCCTTTGACGGCTCTTTGGTCTTGGCCATAGTGGAGTTTGGAGTGTGACTGTTTGAGGTTGTGGACAGGTGTCTTTTATACTGATAACAAGTTCAAACAGGTGCCATTAATACAGGTAACGAGTGGAGGACAGAGGAGCCTCTTAAATAAGAAGTTACAGGTCTGTGAGAGCCAGAAATCTTGCTTGTTTGTAGGTGACCAAATACTTATTTTCCACCATAATTTGCAAATAAATTCATAAAAAATCCTACAATGTGATTTTCTGGATTTTTTTTCCTCAATTTGTCTGGCATAGTTGACGTGCACCTATGATGAAAATTACAGGCCTCTCTCATCTTTTTAAGTGGGAGAACTTGCACAATTGGTGGCTGACTAAATACTTTTTTTCCCCACTGTATATAAAGTGGGATAAGGGGTAGCTAGAATTCCTTCCAGACCTGGGCAGGAAATAGTTGTATTTTGTAGTTTATTTGAAAATACCAACTTTTCACTTGAGGTTAGAGTTTCAACTAGAAGGCAACCATTTTCTTTGATATTCAAATACAGGTCTCAGAAAACCAAATAATGTTTGAAAGTATTTGAATATATGCAAGTTATTTGAAAACAAAACAAAAAGTATTTGATGGCTGCCAAATATTTGATGAAGAACCCACAACTACAACAGATAGCTGAATTAGTCTAACTATATTATCATAAGCAAGTTTTAGAATGCTCTTAATCCTTGTTCACATTGGCAGTTTGAAGTGATTCAAATCCTATTTATTTGCATATCCGATCAGGAGTAATTGCCAGTTGGCTTGTCATAGCCGAGCATTCAGAGGTCGAGACAGCAGGTGCGGTAGAGAGTGTCGAAAACAGCAGGTCCAGGACAAGGTAGCACGTCCGGTGAACAGGTCAGGGTTCCATAGCCGCAGGCAGAACAGTTGAAACTGGAGCAGCAGCACGACCAGGTGGACTGGGGACAGCCAGGAGTCATCAGGCCAGGTAGTCTTGAGGCATGGTCCTAGGGCTCAGGTCCTCCGGGAGAGGAGGGAGAGAGGGATCACAACTGTTGCTCGCACAAATAAATCCACATTTGATACATTTCTTCTTAACCTTTCGTATACGACAGGTTCTAGATGCTAAATTATCTAGTAGTTACTGATTTTGTTAGCTATTTGTTGTAACATTATTTACAGCACATAGCTAGATACGGAAGTCTTGCACTGCACAACCATAGCATTACGCTGTCCCAATTTACTAGTATATTCGATTGTGCATTGTACACATTTGCAATTCATAAACCTCTTATGTATCACCAAACACCACAGTTGATCCAGAAATTATGTTTTTGTGGCGTAATTGGCTTTGCCTACACATAACACACCACTTATAGGCCTAGTAATAAACCTACCAGACTTGGTTTGCGCACCAAGAGTGCAAACAGGTTGGGCGTGAACACGCTTTCACCAATTTCCTGTTAACGCTGGAGGCGCCTCTGTTGTTGCTGGCTTCCTGCTGCTAGATTGATGTAGCAGTTTACTGAAAGCAGTTATCCCTGGCTTGCTAGCCAATATGAGAACATTGAATTGGTTGCAAATGAAAACGTAATGGCTTCTTTACAATGCTTCTTGTTTTAGTTCTTTAGCCATCTTTCCATCTGATTCAGCACCTTTGACAGTCAAGTAAGTTGGCTTGCTAGCTACTGTAGCATATATCTTAGCTAGCTAGCTATATTGGCTAACCAACTGGCTTTTAATATTGCAGGTAGCTAGCTAACTATCTCACATCCTCCAAAACAGCCTAAACAACAATGCACAGGTTCACTTGATTAGGAGGTGATGGAACATAGCTAGCTCTGGTCAAGTAACGTTAGTGGACGGACGCGCACTAACGACCTGGACCAGAGCTACAACATAGCTAGCTACAAGCTGGTCAGCGTAATTGGCAGCTCAGTAATACAGTAATTCTTCATTTCAGATGGCAGCTCCCTTCAAAATCCCCAAGAGAAAACAGCCACCAGAAGCTGACAGCATGCACATGCAGTCACCTCTCTCACGAGTCCAGGATACCTCCAGGCCATTCGAGGTATCCCATACCATTTCCATCTGAAGTGGACAGAGCCCCAATGAGCTGCATTTTCACACAAAGTGACTCATTATTTGTTAATGAATGTTGTGTTTATATTTGATCATGGTGATAAGTGAGATCGACATAGCTAGAAGGTATACACTGAGTGTACAAAACATTAGGAACACTTGTTCTTTCCATGACAGACTGACCACGTGAATGCAGGTGAAAGCTATAATCCCTTATTGATGTCACTTGTTAAATCCACTTCAGTGTGGATGAAAGGAATGAGACGAGTTAAAGAAGGATTTTTAAGCCTTGAGACAATTAGGACATGGATTGTGTATGTGTGCCATTCAGAGGGTGAATGGCAAGACAAAATATTTAAGTGCCTTTGAACGGGGTATGGTAGTAGGTGCCAGGGGCACCGGTTTGAGTGTGTGGAACTGCAACGCTGCTGGATTTTTCACGCTCAACAGTTTCCCTAGTACATCAAGAATGGTCCACCACCCAAAAGACATCCAGCCAACTTGACCCAACTGTGGGATGCATTGGAGTCAACATGGACCAGCACCCCTGTGGAACGCTTTCGACACCTTATAGAGTCCATACCCTGACAAATTGAGGCTGTTCTGAGGGCAAAAGGAGGTGTAACTCAATAATAGGTGTTCCTAATGTTTTGTACACTGTGTAACTAAAATACTCATGCTAATGAAACCTTTTGAGTTGGACATTGTTGCTCACACACACGTCTCCCAAAGTGCCTCCCAAATGACACCCTATTTCCTATATAATCTATGTACTACTTTTGATCAAAGCCCACAGGACGGCTTTGGTCAAATAGTACACCACAGGGAATAGGGCAGAGGAGGCTGGTGGGAGGAGCTATAGGAGGACAGGCTCATTGTAATGGCTCGAATGGAATCAATGGAACGGTATCAAACATATGAAAACCAAATATTTGGCTCCGTTCTATTACTCTGTTCTATTACTTCCATTCCAGCCATTACAATGATCCCGTCCTCCTATAGCTCCTCCCACCAGCCTCCTCTGGAACAGGGTGCAATTTGCGATGCAACCCCAGACTCTCTAATTTAAACCTAGCACTCTCAAGACACTTTAAAAGCTGTAGGTCAATGTACTATTTAGCCTATGAGTTAATACTTATGCTGAAACAACACTGTGTGTCATTTATCAGACAAGCTGGTGCAATGGCTCTTCCAATGGAAAAAAGCCTGAACAGGTTGGCTCTCTGAATGGACACATCTCCAGAGCTGGGAAAGTGAGGTATGTATAGAGATGGTCTGTACATAGCTCTGGTCCATAGCGTTCATGCTGTTGAGCTTAATGAACAGCATCAACAAGTGACGCGACTCACTGGACCAGAGCTTATTTGTACAGTGCTCAAAGACAATGTGCTGCTGGATTAAGAATGTCAATTATCTCTCCTAGATGACTTACTTGATTTACCTGTCCTAGATGACTTACTTTGATTTGGTGTCCATCATGACTCTCTCTCCACCACTTTTCTGCGCTTTTGCCTCTTGCCTGGTTTCTGTTGGTGATTTTGTTGACAGGATGCAGTGGTCATGGATACCTGCAGTGCTTACTAATTTCAGTAGATGGAGCTGTTCAACCAGTTAAATTTACCTGGTCAAAATGTCTAGTACAGTGTGTATAACTGGAAATCATGATGACAAAAAAAGTCCAGGTTATATTACACAGATTATATTACCGTTATATGGTATTGATGTGGTTCCTGAGATGTGAGATAGACTTTGCTGAGACTTTGACCACTGTTTACTTGTTTGCAGCGCTCATAACCGGCTAGTTCTGAGGGATGTATGTAAAGCGCGTCTTGGACCTAGCCATCCAGACAAAGGGAACTCCAGCCAGTCAACAGGCTTCCAGAGACCAGCTCAGACCCCAGAACACCGTCCAGTTACCAGCCAGAGAGGGGATTCCTCCGAGCACAGCAAATGGAGAGAGGCACACAGGTCCAGCACGCTGTGGAGATCACCCCCTCGCTTTCAGCTAGCAGTCAACAGAACACCTAGGAAGCAGATGGAGTCTCTGACACATGAGAAGCCACCTCACCTATCAAGCCCTGTGGCATCAACACATGAAGCTGAACAAAGACTCCCAGCAGCCTCTCCTTCCTGCTTAAAAAACGGGTATGTCATCAGGGCGGCAGGTAGCCTAGTGGTTAAGAGCGTTGGGCCAGTAACTGAAAGGTTGCTGGTTTGAATCACAGAGCCGACTACGTGAAAAATCTGTCTTTGCCCTTGAGCAAGGCACTTAACCCTAATTGCTCTTGTAAGTCACTCTGGATAAGAGCGTCTGCTAAATGACTATATAATATAATATAATATGCCATTTAGCAGACGCTTTTATCCAAAGCGACTTACAGTCATGTGTGCATATATTTTTACGTATGGGTGGTCCCGGGGATCGAACCCACTACCCTGGCGTTACAAGCGCCATGCTCTACCAATTGAGCTACAGTGGACCACGTAATGTAATAGATCTTGAAAAACTGATAAAACTCTAGGAATTAGAACCTAGTTTCTTTTTTTTATGTGAATTCACGTATGATTCTGCTTGTTCAGTTCACACTTGTTCTAGAAGTGACACCGACCATAGAAATCAATGCTTGGAATCATTTGGCCTGACTGTACCGTTGTCCTCCACTAGATGGCGCCCTAAGAGGGCATCAGACACGCTGTGCCGGGACAAGAATCAAGCGTCGCCACTGCTCAAGATGCGCCGTGCAGAGTTCACTGGTCAGTGTCACACACACATACCATATTTGAAGGACATGGCTCAAGTTCATATTTGAGGTGAAATCCTATCCTACCATACAATCTTTCTCACACATTCCAAAACAATCCCTAGACAATGCTCAGATTAGCCTGATGAAGACAATTTACCATTGTGGATGCTACACTGTTTTTGTGAAAATGTATTATTTGTCTTAAAACACATCTTTCTTTAATCTTGGTGCTCAGTCTAGGCTGTAGATCCACAGCAGTTGGAGGCCGCTTATATCTACATAGACCTAACCAATTTAGGTTCAAACATTATTGTGTAATCAGGAGTTTTCCTCGTTAAGTGTTTTGCTGGTGTTTCATGGAGCAGTGGGGTTAACATTTAGCAGGTGTTTCTGTGTCTAACCACCCCTTGTGTTTCCCCTCCTCTTCTACATTGTGTTGGCAAGCCTGACCATTTTCCTGGTTGGATAAACAAATGCTTAACTTTATGGCCTTGTTAAAAATGCGTTTGACTGCTTTTCTTTGAACTCTTTCTCGTTCAAGACGTGTCACATTTAGCTGTGTGCTTTAGCCGACTCGTCTGGGTATCGTTGTCATGTCATACATGTGGACAACCAGGCTACTGTCTCTTCAGCAAGGGTCAAAATGGAACTGTTGTGTTTTACTAGCTTATTTCGTTGGTTCGATTCCCGCTGGAGCCACCCACACCAAAATGTTTATCAAAGTCACTTTGGATAAAAGTGTCTGCTAAATATCATATATTTTATTATAATTTTTACATCTTCCCCAGGAGATTCACAACTGTCTGTGAGATGCAGCCCAGTGGAGTCGTCGGAGGATTCTGCATCAGAACCGTCTCCAGAAAGAGAGGCGGACAGTTCCTCAAAGATGGGTGACAGGCCCTCTGTCCCCCTGGGAGACCCAACATGGAGGAGACGTGACTCTGGGGTGAATGGATCTCCACCACAAAACACAGAGGTAGGGACAATGGCTGCGTCTCAAGTGGGACCCTGTTCCCTAGATAGTGCACTATAGTTAATAGGGGACCATTTGGGACGTATACACAGTTGACTGGCCTCAGGACTCACATAAAGATATGTCTAGTAGAAAACAATTGCTTGTACTTACTAGTCTGGTACATTAGTTATTGCGTTGGTCATAACCATACTTGTTAGCTAGCTAGGTTGTGCGTTGGCTAGCTTTTTCAGGCATTGTTTGTAAGTGTTGGCTAACTCAGTGTTGCTATGTTTATTCACAACAGTGAACAGCCAAGTTGCTTAACTTCCGCCCTATACAGATAGTCCTGATTCAGCTGAGCTGGTATCTCCATGTCTTGCTACAGGATAACACCCCAGGGTAGCTTATTCTATAGAATAGTATAGACTCTTGTAAAGTGTGGCCATTGAAAACAAACTATATCAAACTATATGAGAACAAGTAGGTTACTGTAGGGGCAGATGCAGGCACACACATTTTCTTTTAGGAAATGAACCTTTTTTCTAGTTGATTGTAATAATTTCTGTTAGGTTAACCCCTGTGACTAGTAGTCCTACCTGGTGTGCTTTCAGAAGGAGAGGACGGGAAGCTCAGGATCACTGCAGGACAGGATCAAGAGGAGTAGTGGTTCATCAGGGACGCACCCCAGGGGAAGTGTCCCTGTCCCAGCAGGCCACCGTAGCCAGAGCTCAGAGAGTGACGACCCTCCCGACCGCCCGTTGACATCAGGGGCCAGAGGTGCATCCACAGGTTCCCCTAGACACTCCCCTTCCGCTGTGGCCTCAGTGACCCGGGCCACACAGGAGAAGCGGTTGTCCCTCAGCAGGTCTCCCCTCCCGGCTAACCCCAACCTCACAGACAGAGAGAGGAGGCCTCCAACCAAGTGTCTCTCCCTCCATCTCAGGCTGAGGAGGCCCAAGCCCACCACCACAGAACCTAGTAAGTTGAACCACTGTTGAACCCTTCATAGCATATTGATAAGAACATGCAACATAAATCACGCATAGACTGGCGGTTTGACGTCACATACGACTCTGTGATATGAGTGTTGTCGTACTGAACAAACATTATAAACGAAGCAAAATACCCTCCTCACCCAATGTCGTCAGTATAGAATATCGTCCTCCACCAATGGCGAGGAAGCAGTTTTCAGCTGTATGTCTTAGTGGGGTTCAGGCCCATTACATAACAGGCTGGCTAGTAGAAAGCAGAGCCTCAGGCCTGGCACCAGTGAATGGTCACAGAGTAGACTGCTGGAGTGGGACACACAAAGTCAGCCATCCTGTCTGTCAGTCAGTTGGTCTCCGTAAGAGCTGGGCACAGGCTTCTAGTTTGACTCTTATTGTTTGGCTGCTGCAGTGTTGTCACGATACCAGGATTTTGACTTCGATACCGATACCAGGTTTAGTATCACGATACTCGATACTAAAATGATACCACAACAACAAAAAGAAGGCGTATTAGCCAAAGTCACAGAATGGCACTTGATCCAGACAGATAAACTCAGCTGCTGCTCTGTTCAATCGTTGGGCATCTTTTGAGTTCAATATCATTGCATTTGAACATTTTTATGTCCATTTTTTAGTGACAGCCATGTATACATTAATAAATCAATTATACAATCATGCAATCAATTTGACTTTGTTTTTACCAGTCTAACTACAAAACAACATAATGGTAATCATTTGTTTGAATGGTAAATCTCTATTGATAAACTGGGGAAATCAAGATGTAGCCTAGGCCTATCCACAATACAGGCGAATCCATATTATTCAATAGGAGTGTGAGCATGCATTGAGTTATGGAGCTTATTTTAGCTGATATCATGGGGCTACAGATGACAAACAATCCTTTCCATTTAGGACTTATTTTATTGGCAACTGCTAGAACATATTATTTTATTGTACTGATCAACATTTGCATAGAAGAAGCAATATCTTATTTGATCAAAGTGTGCGGTGTCTCTTTAAGAAAGTAATGATGTCATTTGCAAGGCAGAATGTGGCTGTGGAATGTGACTTTGTGGCTATGGAAACTAGACCGGAGGCGAGGGAGACTAAGGGTGCGTTCGTAAATTCACTCTGGCTACTTCGATTTCAGAGCACTCTCGTCTGAGTATGCCAGAGCGCAGGATAACCGATGAATTTACAAACGCGCAACACCTGTTGAATATGACCGGTGTCACTCAACGTTGGCAAAAAAACACCATTAAATTGTTGCCAGCAGCACAGTTAGTCACCAACTCTCTAGACAACATGAAAACAGCCTAACCAGGTCTGCTAGGGCGAGTAAGATGGTCAGAGTGAGCTGTTCTCTCATTTGCGTCTGGAAGTAGCTAGCAAGCTAGCCAACTTTAGCCAGTTAGCTTGGGTGCTTGACTGCCGTTGTGAGGTCAGAACGCTTGGATCAACCCTTCTCCTCGGCCAGAGCGTCCAGTGTGCGCTCTGAACGCTCAGAGAGCGAAACACTCTGAATTTACGAACAGATAATCTGACAACGCTCTGAATTTACGAACAACCCAGAGCACACTCTGACACACTGGAGGCAATTTGAAGGGAAACTCCCTCTGTGGGCATGGTGCACCACCACCGTGGACGTTAGAATGGCTCCTCTGGAAGGACCTAAGCTCCACCCCTATAACCAACCCTAACCTTAACTTCTATGTGATATAAGCCACGTCCATAGCCATTGATTGGATCTGTGGTGTGCTGCATCCTTAGCGAGGATGTGTTCTAGCAGAGACCCATGGCCTTCCTCTCTCTAGCGGAGTCTTGGCCCTTCAAATCCCTAGTGATTAGGTAGTAACGAGTACAGGAGCCTCCATAATGATGACGCCATGGGGCGATAGGGAGCCAAGAAGCAGTTGGAAGAGAGAGGAAACTCAAGCTGGGTTTTGTAATTTTCAGTACAGGCAATATTTACCATAAATATATTTTTGTCAACATGGGGCTGGGACATCATCAGGGGAATGATGAGGACATGACATCCGATGAGGAGCCTCATCTGGTCCGCATTTGTTCCCTCTTCTCCTAATGGGTCCTAGTTACAGCTTTACAAGCTCTTTGGGGTCAAGAATGTGTAGCCAGAGGCAGACATGGGAAACTATCAGCTGTCAGCGGTGCTGAGAGATGAATGCCTGGCCTGCCTCCACCACAGAGGGGTGGTTAACGTTTTTGAGGTGTGTGTGTGTTTGAAGATGTGTGTGTCTTTACGTGCACTCAAAGTGCTGACAAGGAAAAGACCATAGTGATAACGAGAGCAGACTTGGTTATTCTCAGTCCCCTTTGTCCCTCCATGTTAATGTACCATGCATGGTGGTAGAGAGAGGTAGAGTGAGGAGGGAGGAAGAGAGAGGGGGGAGGAGGAGGGAGGAGGTAGAGAGAGGAGGGTTGTGAGGGGGGAGGGAGGGAGGAAGGGAGACAAGTAGTCACCCAGATTACTGTGGATAGCCAAAGCTCCTTATAAAGCCCATTAGTCCTGTGTCTGTCTACTGGCACCTGACCCACACTGAGCCAATCCCCTTCTGGCTCTGGCTCCCTCTGATGCTACCAGGAGCTCCTAGTCCCCCCTTAACCTAACCCATTGACTTTGCACTGAGCAGCTAACAGCCATCTCCAGCTAGGTCTCAATATTAGGAAGGTGTTCCTAATGTTTGGTATACTCAGTGTAAATGCTAAAAAATATATGTTGGAGTTATTTTCATTAAATAAACAGACACAGTGATTTATTAGACATTCAGTGATTTAAAAATAACATTACAAAGACTACTTGAGGGTTTTAAAAATGGTGAAAATGGCCCATTGCAATGTTCATCCTCCCTACAGTGTATTAGCTAATCAAACATCAAAGTAGTCATCTAACATGCAAATAGATGCCACTCCAATCCCCTTAAGTCCTTCAATGACAGTCAGTGTGCCAGCAGCTCCTTCGTGAAGCCACCAATTGACACACTAATTAACACACTAATTTAAAAGTGACAGTCTCAGTAGGTGGTAGAGCATGGAAAGGAGCTCCAGCTCTCAACTTCAGTGACAGTCAGTGTGCCAGCAGCTCCTTCGTGAAGCCACCCATTGACACACTAACTAACAGTGTCTAGAATGTTCTGGGTGTAGCTACCTTTCACTTATCATTGAAGACCAACTTTTTCTTACATCCAGCTACTGCAACCGGCTCCTGGCCTGTAATATTCTCAGTTCCCATTGTTTGTATAACGACAGTGTATAATCACCATACTAAGTTGAGTGTCTCTGTTTGTCAGTTGTGCTTTCCAGTGAGGATGAGGAGGGCCATGATGATGAAGAGGAGTGCCCCAGGCTGAAGACCCCACAACAGGGCCACAGCCCCAGGCAAAGCCAACCCACACCAGAGGAACATGTACCCAAACAGGTAGGAGGGATGCGGGGGCATTCCAGTACTTGCATGTGTCTCCAATGATCATGGTACGTCATTACATGTCATAGGCCTATTCACTTTAATTGCATAGAATTCTAATTATATGGTTCTAATTCTATGGTTGCCTGGACAAATAACATATTGTATGGTTTTGAAAAATATTAGAGCATTTGACAGACAGAGAGCATCAAATTAGGCAAACAAATCAAGACAGACATTTTTATATGCAGTACTCAGAGAAGCCAGTACTCAGCGACGACAGTACTCAGCGACGACAGTACTCCGAGAAGCCAGTACTCCGAGAAGCCAGTACTCCGAGAAGCCAGTACTCCGAGAAGCCAGTACTCAGAGAAGCCAGTACTCAGAGAAGCCAATACTCAGAGAAGCCAGTACTCAGAGAAGCCAGCTGTTTACAGACTTGAATTGAGAGGTCAGACTTGGAGAAGATAACATTGTAGCCTATATCACGACTTAGGTGAGGTTTGCCAGCTCTTGTCAGCTAACTGCCTGTTGTAACACATGTAGAGGTTTAGCTAGCTAACAGACAGTGGGGATTGGGAAAGTGTTAGTAATAAAATAAACCATTCTGGTGCTGTGAGATAATTAGTAGTAGAAAGCCTCATCTCAGTGGATGTTTTAGTAGAAGCAGATAACTCTGGTTAAGATCCAACATGTTTGTTATTGTGTTTAGAGGTGCTGTAGAGGAAGAGATGTAACCCCTGTTGTTGACCATCTTGAACAGAGCTTCTCATCTCTGTTCAAGGATTTCTATGTGGCTCAGTGCAGTGTCTCTTCTACCGTTACTGTAGATGGAGGGGCCTAGCAGAATGGCCTCCACCTTAAACTCCATCCACCGTAACTTGTTGCACATGAAAGACAAGACATCACCAATTGAAAACATTCTAGGAAATCGTGGTGGATTAAAGCATTTGCTTCCAGGAGGGTCTTTTTTTCATGCCTGGGAAGAAATCTATTTAAGCAGTTGAGGTGAATATGAGGTGTTTTATGCAATGCTGTGAATGATTTAAACGTGTGCCGGTGCCCCTGTGTTGTGATTGGCAGGCTGTGGTTGGAGAGAAGGTCACGGGGTCACAGAGAGTATCGGAGCACAACCCTTGCAGCACACAGCCACTGCCTCCTATCATGGAACTGTCTTTCTCTACACTGCACGCTGGGGTGGTCCGAGCACAGGCCAATGGAAACCTGGTGGTAAGACACTTGGGCTAGTGGTGTGTGTGTCTAGGTCACTCTCTCTATCTGTCTCTATCTTTGTGTACACGTAGGCGCGTGCTTGTGTTCCACAGTCACAATTAGTTGTGCATAATACCTGTGTGTTTCAAATGTGTCTGAGTTGAAGCCTGTATGGATGGAAGACACAGAAACAACCAGGTTCTTTCCTCACCGTCCTGATTTCACATCACTATTTGTCCTTCTTTCTCTCTTTCTTCTCTTCTGTTGCACTGTCCTGAGCCGTACTTATAATGACATGTATCGCTCTCTCTCTCTCTCTCTCTCTCTCTCTCTCTCTCTCTTTCCATGCCCTCTTCCACATAGTTTCCCCCTTAATGTGATTGGCCCATCACTAGTTTTTGTTCCTGGTTTATATTTTAATAAAGGATATGTGTTTTCCAACGTCTTAATGGGCCACTCCTCACATATTACACTGATGGGACGGATGGAGAGAGCTGGAATAAAATAGAAAATCAAATATGTGTCACTACTTTGAACACTTCATCTCTAAACAACCTTGACTGGACATGCCAGTCTCTTGCTGTAACAATAACATGATAAGCAACTCAAGACCATAACTGGCAAAACATTGGCAGTTTATCACCAGGTGTTCTCCAAACTCCCATCAAGTCCATTCAAGGGCCATAAAATCCTATTGTGTTTGTTTCTTCCACTTTAACAAGCAATTAAGAAATAGTATGGTGCTAATGACAGAGTACCGGGGTGAATTAAACTGTGGTCAGTGAGTCCGGAGCAGTTACCTTGTGGTCACTAGGTTACCGTGTCAAACTGTTGTTGTTTTCCACTGTGAGAACAGCAACACAACAGGGAAGTCCACATTGCGTATTTTATTGTATTTTATTTATTTAGCTGCTTTTGTCATGTCTGGAAACTTTCCTTCCGTTGTTGATGAACGAGACATGGTCTTTTTTTATTGACAACCCTTTTAAACAGAATGTATTATTCTGTTATGATTGGTATTGTTTCCATAGCAACCACACAAAATATGTCCAATGATGAATACCTATCCAATCCTTTCAGATCTACACAAATGCATCGGGTCTGGTCTAGGTGAATAAGGGCCTAGGGGAATAAGGGCCTAGGGGTCGGTCAGGACTGAGCGTCAGGGGTCAGGGGTCATTCTACCCTCCTTAGGACCAGATGCTTTATAATATCCCTCCACCTGTCTTCAATCTCTTCTCCTCCTTTACCTCTTCTCTAATCAGCTATTTTATTCATCCTCCTTTCCTCCCTTCATCTTATTACATACCGTAATGACGACATGTCAGCATTTTCCTCCTGCTAATATATTTTCATCTCCCTCCTCTTTTTATAGGTAACAGATGATGGCATCACTCTACCGCTGAAAGGTAATCACTGACAGCTTGGCATTGCGGTAGTGTGTGGGTCGTGGAGTAGGACCTAGCCTAATGATCAGATGGGGGAAAGATGGTAAAAAGGTCTCAATAATCCTCAGAGGGTGAAGTCACTGTGTTAGTGTGTTTTCATCTTTACTGCAACACATGCAGGGTCCTTCCCTTCCCCAGGGGGATCATATGGGCGCCATAGTCTCCCTGAGCCACCCACTGCCTGCCGCCCAGCCTCACACACCACCACATAGATGATGCCCCCCTTCTCCTCTCCTTAGTTGGCATCAACGTGGCACCATGTGGCCTGGCGTCATAGATTGAGGCCTGGCATCATAGATTGCGCCCTCAGTGTCTTTGTGATGTGACTTGGGTCAAGGTATTCAGATGAGTAGGGCAGCAGGGTCATAGCCTGAGTGCCAGTCTGTTTGTGCCATCATGCCAACTCCTTGGCACTCATTGTCACACTAAACATGTTTGGCTTGACAATAAGCAAATGAGTTGTCAATGTGGGATCAGACTAGTGAAGTCAGACTGGCAAACACACTTCTGTTCTGAAAGTGTAGTGCTGAAATCCATTCTCTAGGAAGGATAGGTAGGCGGACAGTACCATGCAGAAAAACGTTAGTTACATGTAGAAGGATCAGATCAGCCTATTCTATATTGAAGCAATAAGGCCCGAGGGGGTGTGGTATATGGCCAATACAGCTGTATACCACGGCTAAGGGCTGTTCTTAAGCACGACGCAATGCGGAGTGCCTGGATACATCCCTTAGCCGTGGTATATTGGCCATATACCACAAACCCCCAAGGTGCCTTATTGCTATTATATACTGGTTACCAATGTAATTAGAGCAGTAAAAGTCATTGTTTTGTCATACCCGTGGTATACGGTCAAATTTACCACGGCTGTCAGCCAATCAGCATTCAGGGCTCGACCCACCCAGTTTATAATATTCATTATGTGTAATGATTTAATTCCAGCCTGATGTTCCGTTAGGTAACGCATCTTTAATCCTTTATATAAATGTCATTACGGTTGGTCTTGTTATTGTCCCAGCCCCATGGCTTACCCTATTGTTTACTGTAGGTGAGCAGGTAACGACCCTGTTCAACTGTCTGTGACCATGTGAGGGTCACACACACGTGCCCCCATACACACACTTACACCTAAACACACACACACACACCTCTACACACTTACCTGTTTGTCTGTGGACTGGGTTAGGGTTAAGAAGCTCAGCTTAGGGTTCTATTTACGTTTGGCGACGGTAGGCCATACTGGTTTGCACGACCTTTTCACCCCTCTTGACTCCAGGTGCTTCTGTGTATCTTACTAGTGTCCTAAGACGCTTATGTTGAGCAGGAGGTGGTCAGTTAGTGAGATCATGGTGCTAGTAACTCCAGGGTCTTGGGTTTTGGATTCTTAACCCCTGACAGTCAGTGTATTAGACAGGCTTTCTGCCTTCTCCAAAACACTATAAGACCCTTAAATACATTATTTAAATAATCCAACAGAAAATACTTCCCTGTCATCAGATATCCAGTATGATCAAAACAGAATCATTACACCCCCCCCCCCCCCCCCCCTCTTGTCCAACAGATTCCAGGGTGTCATCAGAGGAGGAGGGGGGGGTGTCGGTGAGCCTGGTGGCGTCCCAGCTACGTGGGTACGCGGTGTGGGACGGAGGTCTAGCCCAAGACGGGAGTCTCTTCCAGGGCTGTCCCGGCCGAGTGGCCCCCTCCCTGCTCTTCCTCTGGGTGTCTGAGGCCCAGGCCAACCTGGTGCAGACAGAGCTCTCAGCCCTCCACCCCGTTACTCTGCCTGGTAAGACTACTGAGTCCACTGGGAGAAATTAATTACAATGTTAGTCGAGACTTGAGAGTGACTGTTAACTTTAGATGAGCTCACTTGAAAAAGAGACGTCAATCTCAATGTGACTTCCCTGGTTAAATCAAGGATAAATGAATCTATAGTAAAATGAATAGTGGTTCAATAAATTTTCACCAGATGTGAAGAATTTGATGCATGGAGAAGGGATAAATTGGGATTGGTGTTTCGTCCGATCCAGAGGTGGATTAATTGAGTTAAAGGTTCAATCAAGCTGTGAAGGTCAACAGGAAAACAAACTTCCCAAGGTTCTGCCTCCAAAACCTAATGAAAGACAAAGAAGTGTAGAAGTGGAGCGTTGTCCTTAATGTGGGCCAGTTACTGAGTATTAGTGGGCGGATCACAGCGCAGCACACTGCTATGATTCAACCACATGATCTAGAGGAAAGAAAGTCATCACCTGTCAAAGTGTGGTACAGTGTGTGTCTCTGTGTGTGCGTCCGTCCGTCTGTGTTAATGTGTGTGTGTGTGTGTGTTCCCTCCTATTGTGGATATATAGGTCAGGCCTGTCCGTTCCTCCTCCTGGTTCTAAGAGAACAGCTGGGTGATCTGCAGGCTGCTCTGCTAGCCTCCATGCTGGACGTAGAGGCCTTCCGTCAGGGCCGCTCCTACGACCTGAAGAGCCCCCTTTCCTGGGCAGACGGCCTGGCGCTGATACACAGCTGTCCCCAGGACGCCCACTTCCTCACCCTGCTGGGGCAGAGCCTGGTGGCAGACCCCAACCCTGGCCTGGGGACAGCAAAGGTCAGTATAGTCACTCAGGAGCTCAGAACTGTGTGAGTATGTCTGTCTATGTCTGTGTCTGTGTCTGTCTATGTCTGTCTGGCTCAGTGTATGTGCTTGACAGTGTGTGTATACCTCTGTGCTCTTTCGTCCCCTGTCCCCCCCTTCTCTCCTCCCCTCTATCCATCCCTCTGCCTTAAGATGCAGGCTCACCCTCAGAGGTATAAAGTCATAAACCTGTTAATAAAACCTCTGTGTTATTCAATCCACTGTGAGTTCTGGGTGCTCAACATAACAGCAGGTTCTATGAAGGCCAGTTGGCGGCACTGGGTAGAAGAAGTGGCCCTTTCAGCACACACGTACACACACACACACACACACACAGTGTGAATGGCCCCTGACTCAGGTCTGATGAAGTGACAGTGTCCAGTGAGGGATGGAGATTGGAGGGATGGAGATTGGAGGGATAGAGGGATGAAGATTAGAGGGATGGAGATTGGGGATGGAGATTGGAGGGATGGAGGGATGGAGATTGTAGGGATGGAGATTGGAGGGATAGAGGGATGGAGATTGGAGGGATGGAGATTGGAGGGATGGAGATTGGAGGATGAGATTAGAGGGATGGAGATTGGAGGGATGGAGATTGGAGGGATAGAGGGATGGAGATTGTGGGATGGAGATTGGAGGGATAGAGGGATGGAGATTGGAGGGATGGGGACGGAGATTGGAGGGATGGAGATTGGAGGGGGGATGGAGGGATGGAGATTGGAGGGATAGAGGGATGGAGATTGGAGGATTGGAGGGATAGAGGGATGGAGATTGGAGGATGGGATGGGGATGGAGATTGGAGGGATGGAGATTGGAGGGATGGAGATTGGAGGGATAGAGGGATGGAGATTTGGGTGGAGATGGAGGGAAGGATGGAGATTGGAGGGATGGGATTGAGGAAGGGGATGGAGATTGGGGATGAGGAGGAGATTGGAGGGATGGAGATGGATGGGAGGATGGATGAGGGATGGAGATGGAGGGATGGAGGGATGGAGATTGGAGGGATGGAGATTGGTGGGATGGAGATTGGAGGGATGGAGATTGGAGGGATAGAGGGATGGAGATTGGAGGGATAGAGGGAAGGAGATTGGAGGGATGGAGATTGGAGGGATAGAGGGATGGAGATTGGAGGGATGGAGATTGAGGGATGGGGAGGAGATGGAGGGATGGAGATTGGAGGGATAGAGGGATGGAGATTGGTAGGGATGGAGATTGGAGGGAGAGGGATGGAGATTGGAGGGTAGAGGGAGGAATTGGAGGGATGAGAGAGGATGGAGATTGGAGGAGGAGATGGAGGGATAGGGGATGGATAGGAGGGATGGAGATTGGAGAGGGATGAGGGAGGAGATGAGGGATGGAGATTGGAGGGATGGAGATTGGAGGGATGGAGATTGGAGGGATAGATGGGGGATAGGTGGAGATTGGGAGGGATGGAGATTGGAGGGATGGAGGGATTGAGGGATGGAGATTGGAGGGATGGAGATTGGAGGGATGGAGATTGGAGGGATGGAGATTGGAGGGATGGAGATTGGAGGGATAGAGGGATGGAGATGAGGGATGGAGATGGAGGGATGGGGGATGGAGATTGGAGGGATAGAGGGATGGAGATTGGAGGGATAGAGGGATGGAGATTGGAGGGATGGGAGATTGGAGGGATGGAGATTGGAGAGGGATGGAGATTGGAGGGATAGAGGGATGGAGATTGGAGGGATAGAGGGACGGAGATTGGAGGGATGAGGGAGGATTGGAGGGATAGAGGTGGAGATTGGAGGGATAGAGGAGGAGATAGAGGGGAGTATGGAGGGTAGAGGGATGGGGATTGAGGGATGGAGATGGAGGGATGGAGATTGGAGGGATAGTGAGGGATGGAGATTGGAGGGATGAGTGGAGGAGATGAGGGATGGAGATGGAGGGATAGAGGAGGATTGGAGGGATTGAGAGGGAGGAGATGGAGGGGATGGGATTAGAGGGATGGAGATTGGAGGGATAGAGGGATGGAGATTGGAGGGATGGGATTGGGAGGGGATAGAGGGATGAGATGGAGGATTGAGGGATGGAGATTGGAGGGATGGAGATTGGAGGGATGGAGATTGGAGGGATAGAGGGATGGAGATTAGAGGGATGGAGATTGGAGGGATAGAGGGATGGAGATTGGAGGGATGGAGATTGGAGGGATGGGGGGATGGAGATTGGAGGGGATGGAGTTGGGGGATGGAGATTGGAGGGATTAGAGGGATGGAGATGAGAGGGATTGAGATTGGAGGGATAGAGGGATGGAGATTGTAGGGATGGAGATTGGAGGGATGGAGATTGGAGGGATGGAGATTGGAGGGATAGAGGGATGGAGATTGGAGGGATGGAGGGAAGGCTCATTGGGCAGCGTTAGGTGGGGGTGGGATCACTCCCAACCAGCTGCAGAAGTGAGCTTGGTCTCTATTCCCTCACAGGTCCTAGAAGGATGGAGGAATTACACAGGCAGTTAGAAGGGATCTGGGTGGGCGAATGTGTGTGGGTGTGTGTGTGTGGCAGGGGTGAAATGTGATTGGCAGGGATTATGCTTGTGTTTGTGGCGGGGGTGATGTGTGTGTGGTGTATCTGGTCCAGGAAGGAACGTCAGGGTTTTTGGGGCCAGCTGGCATAGACCAAAGTAGGCCACCTCGTTGGGGTCTTTATGAGCTGGCTCCCTAGTCCTCATCTGTCCAACACACACACACACACACACACACACACACACACACAGAGTGAGTGAGTGGGGTCATCCTCTTCCTCGCTGCTCTTCGTCATCAGAGCAGACCTTGACTTCATCACCTCGACCGTCCTCGTTCTCATCACCTGCCAAAACGTTGAATTTGATCACTTGTTCCCCTCGTCCAAAAGACATTGGAGGAAAATCCCCCATGCAGTCAGATGTATCTGTAGAGTAAAGTGTGAGGTGTTTAAGTGGGGTGACGACTTCTGCAGGGTGATTCTGTAATGCCTTTCTGTTCTGTTCTTGTTCTGATCAGGGGAGCCCCAGTCGGACCAGAGGGAACCACAGAAGCAGAGAGCGTTACTCCAGACACCAGGGCCTGCTGCCCACCAGGTGGGGGCAGTATATCTTTATTGTTATGGATGGTTTTCAATTTAGAATATACTACCTGTTAGTATGAGTTGTTGTTGTTTGTTTACACATGAACTATTGGATCTCTCCATCATCAGGTTGATCCAGTACCCACCACTCCCTTCTAAAGGAGGAATCACCGTGACAACAGAGGACCTTGACTGTCTGGACAGTGGCCAGTTCCTCAATGATGTCATCATCGACTTCTACCTCAAGTGAGTTCTAGTGATCTGCCTGTGGACCAATGTTTTTCTCTTATAATTTGAACATCTTAGCCAGCTAGCAGACGTGTAACCAGTGATTATACAAGGGGTGGGTCTAATCCCGAATGCTGATTGGTTAAAACCGCAACTAAGTACAATGAAGCAAGACTAAGGGGACTTTTCTGACCAGCATCCCATTGACAGGCTGACTAGCCAAAACCTAAAACTGACCCTTACCGTAACTAAACCCTAACATGAACATAATTTAACATATACGGGAATGGATTATCAGTTTGCATGTCAGCCACGTCCCTTTAGTTTAGCCCAGCCACACAGCAGGTGAATGTACAGCAAAACCTCAACATCTTCCTGTCCCCTCAGGTATCTTCTCCTGGAGCGGGCCCCGGGGCCCCTGGCTGAGAGATGTCATGTCTTCAGCAGCTTCTTCTACAAGCAGCTGACCCGCCGGGACACGTCCCTGGAGGAGGAGGCTGCCATCCCGTAAGGAGATCAGCGCTCAGCGTCTTTTAACGGCTTAGTGGGCGTCTCGCCTCGCGTCACATGGCGCCGCACAGGGGGCTCACGTTTGGCGTTATGCTCATGGCGGCATGCTCTACGTGTGCTGGCGGCTTAGTCACATGCTAACGATATTAATGATGGTGTTGACAGAGACGTTAAGGAGCATTTGACTCTTGTTAGGAGTATTATTCTTTCTAAATATGTTGGATATTCTACCTGAACTCTGATGGAAGGAGTAGTGTGCGTTGCTGTAAAGTGTTCCCCTCTCCTTCCTCTCAGGGCCAGGGACAGGAGACACCAGAGGGTGAGGACCTGGACCCGCCATGTTGACATCTTCAACAAGGACTACCTGTTTGTGCCTGTCAATCACCAGTGAGTGAGATTAATACACACTCACTCACTTACTCTCTCTCACACACACACACACACACACACACACACCACACACAACAATACACACACACAGCACAGACACAGACACAGCACACACACACACACACACACACACACACACACACACACACAGAAGGTAGAGCCAAGACTTAGACCCATACCAGCACTGTTTCTGTCGATCTCGCAAAGCGGAACAGATTATTTCCTGAGGAGATGCGTGTGCCCAATTAGCCCATGGTGGTCCAGCACTACACTACACTACCACACTACAACACACTACACTAACACACATAATCACACACACGCATACTACTACACTATAATACACACAAATACACTACACGTACACATACGACACATAATACACACACTAACTATACTAACACTATAATACCTACACACTATAAAACACTTACACTATACTATACACTAAACACTCACTATAATAACTCCCCCAAAAAACTAATCATATAATACACGACAACATTAGCTAACACTATACTACACTACACTATACTACACTACACTATACTACACTATAATACGCTATAATACACTACACTATAATACACTACAAAACACTATACTACACTTCACTACTGTACACGTCACGACACCACACTCCCCTGATTGGGGAAAACAGTGCTCTTTTCTTCAGCCTTCCCTCTAGCTGCCATGGCTCTGACAATGAGACTGGAGCGGAGACAGTGTCCAGGCAGGGCAGGGCTCCAGCATAGTGGAGATGAATGGATGTGGCCTGAGCTGTAGTGTAGTCTGTCGGTCTGTCGGTCGGTCGGTACTAGTCTCAAGGCTGCACCGGAGTTGAAACAGCCTCTGTCACGCCTGACAGAGACCGGGCCGTATGTGCGTACCTTCATTCATATGGCTGTGGGTTGATGAAGGTCTGGATGGAGTGCTGCACAACATCACGTTCCCTTTTCCCTCAACTCCTCCCTTCAGTTTAGGACCATAGTAGTAGGGTTTTAGTCTACATACTGTACCTTCTGTCCCCAGCACAATGATTTAGAACCCCAGCTCAGTCAGTAGAGCATGGCTCTTGCAATGCCAAGGACTGTAGGTCCGATTCCCACTGAGGCCACCCATAGGAAAAATGTATGCACCCATGACTGTAAGTCGCGTTTGGATATAAGTGTCTGCTAAATGGCATATGTTATTATATACTGCAGACCTATTTGACATATCTTAATGGGTTTTCAATAAGCAGCGATTGAAAAAAGCAATAATGACAATAGCTCGCTGACTGATGCGTAGCTGGAAAATGAGCTAAGCTCCAGATACGGATTTCTATTCTGACACTGTATGTTCCAGTATGTTCCTATACAAGAGAATCAGGCCAGGCTAGGATAGGGGACACCCACCATGTTCAGAACACAGCCAGGCCAGGCTAGGACAGGGGACACAGCCAGGCCAGGCTAGGACAGGGGACACAGCCAGGCCAGGCTAGGACAGGGGACACAGCCAGGCCAGGCTAGGGACAGGGGACACAGCCAGGCTAGGACAGGGGACACAGCCAGGCTAGGGCAGGGGACACAGCCAGGCTAGGACAGGGGACACAGCCAGGCTAGGACAGGGGACACAGCCAGGCCAGGACAGGGGACACAGCCAGGACAGGACAGGGGACACAGCCAGGCTAGGACAGGGGACACAGCCAGGCTAGGACAGGGGACACAGCCAGGCTAGGACAGGGGACACAGCCAGGCTAGGACAGGGGACACAGCCAGGCCAGGACAGGGGACACAGCCAGGCTAGGACAGGGGACACAGCCAAGCTAGGATAGGGGACACCCACCATGTTCAGATCACAGCTGTATATCTATATATCTAGATGAGAATGTAGATATGACCTATGCAGATCTCTGTATCCCCAGTCCATTACGCTTTCTCTCATAGAATAGGATGGGATGAATTGTAGTGTCCCAGAGGAAAGATTGTCTTAGACACACAGTACTGCTGTATACAAAAGAAATACTGTACATTACACACTCTACATAATACATACATTAGACGTTACCTTATCATACACATTGAACACTTCTCATAGCCACATACATGATACATTGCAAATTCCTTTACATCTGATTCACTTATATCTGATTCCCTTATATCTGATTCCCTTATGTCTGATTCCCTTATATCTGATTCCCTTATATCTGATTCCCCAGAGCCCACTGGTACCTGGTGGTGATCTGTTTCCCTGGCCTGGAGCAAGCCCAGCATGAGGAGTGGTCCGGCCCAGCCGGAGTAGAGGCCAGCGGGGGGAAGAGGAAATGCCAGCCCCAGGCTTCAGCTGGGCCTTCTCCAGGGCCCAGCAACCCCAAACTGCAGAACGGAACAGGTGCGTTGGACAGCCCTGATGCATTGTGTGTATGTGATATTTACCTTGGCAGAATCTCACTTCTCTCTCCAGGGCCTTGTAACAGCGTTTGTAATTGGCCCGGGTTGTGTTCGCACATTTTCTTTAACCCTAATGATCAAATTAACGTCGGGTTGGATTGTTTTTATTTTAGCTCAATAGTGTTGGAAGATAGCTAGGGGGCTTTTTATGCTGCGATGTCAGTCCCAAACTACCCGTTAAAACCCTATGTTAGGCCTTATGTTATTATATACAGCTGCAGGTCTAGCGTGCCCTCCATACCCAGCCAAGAAACATAGAGAAACAGAGCATGAACATTTGGCCATAACACCACAGAAGAAAATAAAACAGTGACTAAACATTTGCTGCTGATTAAAAGGGGGCTGTGTGTTTGTTTGTGTTTGTGTGTGTGTGTGTGTGTGTGTGTGTGTGTGTGTGTGTGTACGTCCTTCAGGTGGAACAGGGGAAGCCAGAGGGAAACCTACATTGAGGCCCCACAACCCACCAGTAAATATCAACCTCTTTTCTAAAACAATTCCGATTTTTTATTTTATTTTATTTTTTAATCAGATGTTTTGAGCATGCGTGCAACATTCTAAATTACATTTTCCCTCCAATTTTGAAGGAGTGTACCCAAGATGGTTGTCAGAAGGAGACCATCATTAAGAAGTGAGTGCATTAACTGAGTTCATTGGCTGTACTTCCTCCATCTATAACAGTGTGTGTAATATCACTGGGTTGTTTTCTCTCTCTGTAGACACTGTATTCTCATCATGGACTCCCTGAAGATCTCTAACCATGAGAGCATCTATAAGCTCTTGCAGGAGTGAGTACTGTGTGTGTGTGTGTGTGTGGTTCATCTCTGTATGTGTGTATGTTTAAATATGTGTGTGTACACTAGTTCCAATCTCTCCCCTGCCTGTCCTCTCCAGTTACCTGCATGTAGAGTGGGAGGTACGTAGAGGAACACGTAGAGACTTCACTGTAGACAGTATGAAGGCTTCCCACTGTAGAGTCCCCCTACAGGACAACAGCAGCGACTGCGGCCTCTACCTCCTGCAGTACGTGGAGAGCTTTCTGCAGGTACGGCCCTCCCCCTCCAACCTCACACACTGAACAACAAGCTGACATCAACCATCCATTTCATTGGCACTTTTCTGTCTGTCATGGTCTTAAGACACTTGATCTGAAATGATAACTGACTGTCCCATGCATGACATCACGCCCTAATCCAAACCTCTGGTTGGCTCACTGACTTTCTCCAGAACCCAGTGGTGCACTTTGACCTCCCCCTGCGCTTGGAGCGCTGGTTTCCACGGCAACAGGTGTGGAGGAAGAGGGAGGAGATCCGGAGCCTGGTGATGGAGCTGCACGGTCGTCAAGGCAACGGCGAGAGCAGCTCCAGGTAGCCAAGCTAGCTACCTTAGCTCCACATACCTGACCAGCAACGCACTACAATACCCCAAAACTGTGAAGGACTTTTATATTTAAAATGTACAATAAATGTCATATTTATACTATTTTTGTATTACTATTTTTATAAAATGTCGCAGGATGTTTGTTTCTCACCTGGTATGTAATGCGAATATTCAAAATAATAGGATCTTAAAATTGAATAAAATTGTTCATTTGTAATGTTTCGTTTTTTATTGGCTTATAGAAGAGAGCATTTGGAAATTACGTTATTACACATGGATATGAGTGAGCACTAAAATCTAGTTTGCTGAGCAAAGACGTAACTCATGTACCCATAACAGGTTTATTTTTCTTTTTCAAATGTGCTTATGACTCACACATAAAACCACTATAAATATTAAAGTCAATATTACTCAGTTATTCCTGTTCAGTGTGTCAGGCTGTTGTTTTTGACCATCAATCATACAGGACTCCATATGCACCTGATTGTTTGCAGCTGCTAAACAATAGTGGTGTCACTACAGACAAGTCAAAATGTTGGCAATGTTTTAGTTTTGGCTCCACATGTAGCTGTTTAGTTCGTAAGAAAACCCCAATGTTCCTGTGGGGAACACTGTGTAAGCTTACACAATGACTGTTTGTAATATGATAATTAGAACACCACCTCTCCCCTGTTCTGTTTACAGGCAGACTTGAACTAAATTCCCCTCAATGATTGTGCTGTATGAGAGTCTAGGGACCTGACTCACTCTGTCATGAGAAACAGAAATACCATTCTACCTACACAGTAGGAAAAAATATGTTTGGTTTGATTTCCATTTGTGTTTCTGTTTTGTTTTCACGGTATAAACATTGATTTGTTAATGGCATGTTTATAATGATGTATTTATAATGTGGTATACTCCTGGATTAGAGAATGCCCCAAAGTCTACCTAGCAACGGCTGGACAGAACTCTCTTCTGTCACCATCACAATATTTTAGAGCGAGAATTCCAGATATTAACTTAGTTGTTATTGTGTGTTTTTCACATGGGCACAGTTAATAGGTTTCTCAGTTTGCTTCGTTAACACTGTAAGTCTGATAGGATATGCGCTTAAGCATATGTACTTAATTGGGATAATCGGAGTCTTTGGTGCAGCCCCTCATGGTAATACCCACAGCATGTGGGCCCCAGACAGAGACCTCTTAGACAGGACAGAGCCCCCCTCCTCCGCTCCCACTGCTGTTGGAAGGGTAAAGGTCATCCCCCACACCTCCCAAATGAGTTGGGCCTACCCCTTTCCTATCCACCCCATCCACATCTCTACCCCATTGATTTAGCCACTGTCAGAAAATGGCCCCACTACTACAGTATAAAAACTTGAGTCTGTATCAAGTCTTCCATATTGTTGTCCTAATACTATAATTATGTTGGCTTTAATTCTGTCTTATAGTTCAGTTAAAGCCGTATAGTCAAATACAGTAGCCGGTTTGAAGGTTTAAATTGTGCTGTTAAGGTTGACTGGTTCACTATGGATGCAATATGGGGCTGGGTTCAAGGGTTCCATTGAATGAACCAAGGAAATCCATACTGCTTAACTGGTCTTAAGCCTTCCAGCCTACAACTACTTATGCATTGTTTTAGCGTCTGGAGATCAGGACTGAAGTCTATGTCCTTCCAATAGAGAGGTCCAGATAGTCAACAGGTAGTCTGGAGATGTGTTTATAGAGAACTGTGTTAAAGCAGTTTGAAGTTAGTTTTGTTTTTATTTACAGGTAGTTTAACTCAATTTAAATCGGCTAACATCAAATCTACTTTGTAATGACAATAAAGAAACTCCACCATCAAGTGACTTTCACTCAGTCTTCATTGTGAACAATAAATGTGAACTGGCATGTTTAGATGAAAACACAATGACATGTTGGACAAAATAACCATGTTTCTTGTTACCTTTTAGTTATTTTTATGTAGAGTGTGTAAGTCAGCAGGTGGCCAAGGTCAAAGGTTATTAGGTCACTGTAGAAGACGTTTAACCACAGATATCTCTGAAAGGGGGGGGTGTCTGCTGTTGTTATTTTCCCAGAGGTCAGGGCGTCGGGGGGGAGGGACCATGTGAGGTGAACAGCCGGGAACCTACCAACCATGTCAACAAAGACGGGAACCACAGAACACCGACCATATGGGACCTCTGATGGGAAGAGGATTTGGGGACTGAGGAGCTCGGCTGTTGGCCCTGGCCCTCATTCATTTGGACGGATTCCTAAATGTCACCCTATTCCCTGTGCAGTGCACTACTCTTGACCAGAGCCCTATGTGCCCTGGTCAAAGGTAGTGCACTATCAAGGGAATAGGGTGCCAATTGGAACACAGACTTGGAGGGCGTCTGCTGAAATGTGTTGCCTGAGGGAGAGATTCATCCCCAGGTAATTAGCAGGGTCCCTGCTGGGGCCAAGCAGGATTATAAATCATTACCTGTATAAGACTGCTAGTCATTTCATTATATGGTGGGTCAGTGGGGGTCGTCTGCTGAAAGGAAGTGTTCGTTAAGAGGATTTTGGACAGTAAATTGTAGCCTGTGTTGAAAAAAAGAATAGAACCACAATCATTTAATTGTGTTTAATTTTCAAATGACTTGTGGCGCCTTGTCAGCATCAATGAGATTAATTTCATTGATAAGTATTCATTTGACTTGAGCTGCTGTTATTGAGTATTAATGACAGCATTGTTACGATGAGTATGCCTCACACTCAAATGTGTCCTTGCTTACTGTGGGTCACCATAGTTACAGACTGAATGGAATGGAGGTTGGGTCTGGGGCCAAAAGCCACTGAGGTAGGATTGGGCACTTTACATTAATCACTGTTGACATGTGTAGTAGTCCAGTTCTCTGGGCTTGGCCTTGTCTGTCTGGTTACGTCCCAAATGGCACCCTATTCCATATATAGTACACTACTTTAGACCAGTGCACTATATAGGGAATAGGGTGCCATTTGGGATGCAGTCTCTGTCTTGTAGAGTAGACAGTAGGCTAGGCCATGATGAGGTAACTGTGCTCCACTAGGGGCCACAGGAAAGCTAATCTTAGGCGGACTGCTGGATTAGACAGATTTAGCTAGTGCTTTGGACAACGATGGCTCTCTAGAGCCCTCCTCCTGTTCTTCTGTAGTCTCTTCATAGAATACCAGCTTCCAATACCAGCATTTCTGCAGGGGTCCAGACCTGTTGACCTTACGCAACTTTATCATTCCCCTGGCTACATTACATAATTTTTCAAAGGCTGCTGGTAATACAGTATTCACATGGTGAGACACACCTTTTCTTCTGTCCATTCATTATAATCTACAAGGCAAAACTGATCCTAGATCAGCACTCTATCAATACGTGCCGTGGTGTGTTGTAATCCAGTATGTTTATGTTTGACTTTGTCGTTACATGTCCTTATTGGTTTCCATGAAGTCAATGACCTATGTGAATATCTCATTGTGAGGTTAGTATTACAGGTCTATTCATAGAGGCATTGGTTTTTTTGCCTTGCAGGACAGTGGTATTATCTTGATATCTGGACAGGAGCCCAGACCTAACGAAGACACTGGCCCATCTGCTGATCACATTATCCAGTAAACCATGTTACCATTGTTGATTCACCGTTGCCGTAACATCACCGTCGTCAGTTGAGTGAGTGTCCAACTGTAGTCTGGCAAGAGACTAATGTCAAGGCAACGAAAAGCAACAGATAGTTTAATTATAGAGTATATTCTGTGTATACTGTTTAAGTATAATTATTTTGCTAGCTATCTACCTCTGTTTTTAATTGTATTTCTTGTTCCCTGATCTGTTGATAATATGTCACCTGACTATACTGTGAAAACAACAAAGTTAGCCGTTTGACACAGAGAGAGCTCAACTGTATACAGGTACTTGGAGAAAGCTAAGTAAATTCAAAAGCAGTGATTCATTTCAATACCTGAAATGTATTGAGTTGAGATTGAATTGACCCCCAGCACTGGTATAGACTGAATCAGTGAAAATGACTAAATAGTCTTAAACTGGCAACATAAGCAGTCCAGAGAGAGTTTTGGGGGTGAGAGTGAGTAGATGAAGGTGAGGTCATAGAGGGAGCCCCCCTCTGAGCCTTTGTCCTTTTCAGACTCCACCTACCCTTCTATCGCTCACTTCCAAATAAGCCTCATCTGTCAATCAGGCCTCACCAGAGAGAGTGACCACCTGGCTGCATTGTTATTCCCTAGTCTCAGCCACCTCACCTCAGAAACCACCTACTCTGCTCTCTGAGAAGGCATGCAAGGGCAGTTATTCACTAATGACCAGACGCGCTGGGCGTATGACAGGTCTCGACCCGATCCCAAGCCCAGAGACACGCACATCCTAACTGGAATGAACCCAATGCACTATTCCAAACCCTTGCCCTTAATTGAAGTCCTATTGACAGGTGTCAATTGTCTGCCACAACAATGTTACATGTTGTGACTACAATAGACAGACGGACAATTCCGTTTGCTGTTCTGTTCTGATTTCCTCTGTCCTGAAGGGTATAAGCACCTTTCCAGTCAGAAAGGATAAGTAGCATCTAGTCACCTGGTTCTACCCCCTTGAGCTGCACTGTCCTGCTACAGGTCAGAAGAGCTTATTGGCAGCAATGTTCATTACTCACCACCAAATCAGCCTCCCGGGAAGATTGTATGTCTGTGTTGTGGTACAGCAAGCCCAAGTTCCACAAACACTGACCTATACTGACTCACCTACACTTACAAATGCAGGATCTTAATTTGAGCCAGTTTGCTACAGCAGGAAAATTATCCTGCAGCAACAGGACATTTAATTTATGTTGATACATTTTTCGGGTAAATCAAGTGTGACATTTTAAAGTGGAAATTACCAACTTTAGAAGCCTTTTTCAAACTTGAATGCACTACAAGTTTGCATTTCCTGCTGTGAGGGAAAATTCTCAACAACAAAAGAGTGATCAAATTAAGATCCTACATCTGTACTCACCTAAACTTAGACTGACCTACCTATACTTACTGCTGAGCGTGATGACATTGGGCAGAGAGGTTTCAAGATTGCCCTGAAAGACAGAGACAAAGGACACATTCACAGACTCTCTCTAGCTTAAACGAAGGCCACAATCAATTCGTGGTGATTTTGAACGCATTTCACATTTGTTGATAAAGTCACTGGGAGAATCACATTTCACATTGTGAATCTCTGCAATATTGTAAATATAAAAGGAATGAGGAAGTAATTAATTAATGTTTTAATAATTTGGTCAGAAAGTCCATCATGTCACTTACATTAGCAATTTATAGGATATAAAGTGTGTCCAAGTAGGATAAGTTCTTATTGCATGTTTTGCAGCTCTGAAAATATGCAATTATGTAAAAAATCTGCCTGAAGATTATTACATTTTTTCCATCACTATCCCTATTCCCCACATAGGCCTACACAGATTATTCACAAGTTAAACAACCATGTACTGTTAGACTAAGGTCTTGCACAGCCACCACTAAAGCTTATCAAATAGGATTAGGAAGCAGAACAAAATCTCTCGCCAAAGTCCCATCTGCTTACCTGAGTAAGGCTGGGTAACTGTCTTCAGCACTGCAACCACATCCCGTTACACTGGGGGATAGCCTAGCCCCACGAGGAATAACCTGAGGAATAGCCCTATTTTTACACCATGCTATCAAGTGGATGGACAACAGTTGATGAACTGAGAAGGATTGAGAAAGTTTGATCTAGACTGGGACTGCATCTTGGATCTTGGCTCTTTCAGAAATGCCGGGGCGAACGAGGAACTGTGCTTTGTGGGTTGTGTCTGCCATCCTTCTGACAGGATACTTTGAAACAGGTAGGTACAGTAGAGGATTTAATGATGATTCTGTTTTCCTTCTGATCACATTTATAATGCACAACTGTCTCATGTACTTTTACAGATGCGTCCCATGGGGTTGCTATGGATAGTGGCTTGGTAGACCCCTCTGGGATTTCAAACCAGCTGGTGTCAGATAAAGGTCTGGAGGCTTTGGCCCACAAGACATACGAAGGAAAGGGTGCTATTTCTAGAAAAAAGCGGAATATTCTTTTTCCCAGTGGAGTGAAGCTTTGTTCTCAAGAGACTGTAGACCAAGCGATAGAAAACCACCTCAAGTACTTTCACCAGCGAGGTAAGCTTTTTCACGACTATATCTCATGGGCACTGGGGATTCATTCTGACCTGGAGTCTATTCACCTACAAGCTTTGTTGTTCAGCCAGATTAATTGAATTCCTGTCATGCATACACTCTGATACAAAAGGTTTTCAAAAGGGTTCTTCGGCTGTTCCCATTGGATAACCCTTTATGGTTCCAGGTAAAACCCTTCTGGGTTCCAGGTAGAACACCTTTTGGGTTTCATGTAGAACCCTCTGTGGAAAGGGTTTTACATGGAACCCAAAAGGGTTCTACCTGGAACCAAAAGGAGTCTACCTGGAACCAAAAAGGGTTCTTCAAACGGTTCTCCTACGGGGACAGCCGAAGGGCCCTTTTAGGTTCTAGATAGCACCTTTTTTTCTAAGAGTGTATGTAACAGTAGGCTACTCCTTTTATTATATGGCTGTCTGTGACTTGTTGCCGATTTTATATGCATTTATTGTAGTAACACAACCATCATATACCATCAGATGTGTGATCATCAAAGTGAATACAACTTTCTGTGATGATCACATATTTGATTGGGAATGGACAGGTGGTGAAGATATATAGGTTTTTGTCAGGTAAATGTGTGCTCTTTGGTCACCTCCAACATGAACCATGCAGTAACTAGTACTTTTCCAGCCTCTTTATTAAAGCCCTATGGTCATCTACGTGCATGGCTTCCGCCGTTGAAATACAGCCCTGTGTTACCATTCTCTATCAGTCATTTGTTTGAAACAATGGTTCAGAACCTTGTTGGAACTCAGGGGACATTACTAGAAGTCAATTGATTGATACGGGTAAGGGGCAGGTTTCAGGTGAAGCCAGGCAGGGAGCCTGGCACCCGACAGCCTTGCACCAGGGTGCCCATCTGTCAGTTCAACCCGAACACGTGGTGCTCCACCTGGGGAAGCTTAGAGAGAAAGCCCCAGTCCTCGGTCTGAACCCTGCCTCGCTACCGAAATAGTAGTCCTCTAGACATTGATCAGATGAGCCATGCTGCCAGGAAAATATGAGATCCCTCAGGCCTGCTCCCGCTCGCTCCTCTACCAAGGGCTTTCTGGTTGTCCTCAGCCTCCAAACCTGAAATGTAGCCTACAGATGTGGCCGCAGATTGAGAGAAAAATACAGTTTTTTTGCCAGTTTGTTTTTGTTCCAAAGCAGGGGTACTGGTACATCATTGTGAAAATTACGTGCAGTACCACATGTCTAGAACTGAATAGTAATTTCAATGTCAGCAGTGGTGGTGAAATGGTGATGCTGTCTGGAACGTGGGAGTATATGTGTGTATGGATCAAAAAATGACCTCACATTTCCATGATTGCCTTCATTTTTCATAGCTGTCCGTTGGAGAGATTGTTCCTGTCAGGATCGCTGGCTAAATCTGAGCTAAATGGCAATGTTTGTTTTGGTTGCCATGTCGTTGTACTACAGGGTACTGTTTAAATCTATATTGAATATTCCTATACATAAAGCAGGTCTTCTTCTACATCTGTCTGTGTCACAGAGTGCAGCCTCTGTGTCACATGTATCTGTGTGAATCAAGGTTGGGGTCAATTCCATTTAAATTCTGTCCAATCAAGAAGTACACTACAATTCCGTGTGTGAAAGCTAGTCTCTGACCCCATCCTGTGTCTGTGTGCCAGTGTGTCAGGAGACAGTGTGGGAGGCGTTCAAGATCTTCTGGGACCGTCTACCTGAGAGAGATGAGTACCAGGCCTGGGTTAACTTATGTCAGGATGGAACTGTCAGCGTGATGGAAATTGGCAGGAACTTCAGCCGATCAGAGGAACACGTCTCTCTTGTTAGGGCTGTGAGTGAGAATTTTGTACAATTTGATATGCAAAACATTACGGATATTGATATGTGTGTGTGTGTGTACAAGTGTGTGTAGTTTATTGGTATGTGATGGAGAAGCTTTATTTATCAATGAATTCTCTTTTTATTTCAGAGAGTGGCGATGACTGCTGCTCTGAATAGGTGAGTTCCAAACATTCTAATGTCTCTGTGAGATACTGGCACTTGCATTCTGTCACAACGCGAAAGAAGTACGTGCCTGAGTCACGTTCAGCAGGGTGCAACGTTACAGAACGTTCAGATCACTTAGAGCAGACATGTTCAGAACGTTGCATGCCGCTGAACGTCTCACACGTTACTCAACCCCAACCCCTCATAAGAAACATTGTATTTACACCACTTCCATGTTCTCCTAATCCCCCTCCCATCCACGCCAGCGAGCCCACAAGCTCAGGGTCCAAAGTGTGCAGGTAGGCCTGTTCACAACACTAAAGCCTGCTGTCTTCATGCCCAGACAGCTCTATAGAAACACTGCTATGTTGTATGCTATCCATACAACAGGGATGTAGTCCCGTGTAGCTCAGTTGGTAGAGCATGGCGCTTGCAACACCAGGGTTGTGGGTTCAATTCCCATGGGGGAATGGTATGAAAACAGTATGAAAATGTATGTAAGTCGCTCTGGATAAGAGCGTCTGCTAAATGACGTAAATGTACAAATGTAAATGTGATGTCACAGCAGCATCAGTGAACCACACAGCTCTGTAGAAGTGCTCTGCAGACAGCTCAACCTTTCCCCTCCTCGCTTCAACCAGCTTCATACAATGATGACATTGTTGTATGATCATAGCCACTGCTGTAGACAGCTTGCTGTGCCTGTAATGCATGTAGACAGTAACAGCAAAGTAGCATAGCAGGTCTGTTTTCCAAGGAGTGAGAGGAAGAAACAATAGGCCAGCAACATGTAATACCTGGTAGTTACATACAGGGGTACAGTGTAACAACATGTAATACCTGGTAGTTACATACAGGGGTACAGTGTAACAACATGTAATACCTGGTAGTTACATACAGGGGTACAGTGTAACAACATGTAATACCTGGTAGTTATATACAGGGGTACAGTGTAACAACATGTAATACCTGGTAGTTACATACAGGGGTACAGTGTAACAACATGTAATACCTAGTAGTTACATACAGGAGTACAGTGTAACAACATGTAATACCTGGTAGTTACATACAGGGGTACAGTGTAACAACATGCAATACCTGGTAGTTACATACAGGGGTACAGTGTAACAACATGTAATACCTGGTAGTTACATACAGGGGTACAGTGTAACAACATGCAATACCTGGTAGTTACATACAGGGGTACAGTGTAACAACATGTAATACCTGGTAGTTACATACAGGGGTACAGTGTAACAACATGTAATACCTGGTAGTTACATACAGGGGTACAGTGTAACAACATGTAATACCTGGTAGTTACATACAGGGGTACAGTGTAACAACATGTAATACCTGGTAGTTACATACAGGGGTACAGTGTAACAACATGTAATACCTGGTAGTTACATACAGGGGTACAGTGTAACAACATGTAATACCTGGTAGTTACATACAGGGGTACAGTGTAACAACATGTAATACCTGGTAGTTACATACAGGGGTACAGTGTAACAACATGTAATACCTGGTAGTTACATACAGGGGTACAGTGTAACAACATGTAATACCTGGTAGTTATATACAGGGGTACAGTGTAACAACAATGTATACCTGGTTTTGATTTGCAAAATTTCAAAGATTTGCAAATGACATCACAACAGCATGAAAGCCATTTGAACAGGTATACCAGTTTTAAGTACTATGTAATTATTGTAATGACGCTGTACATACCTGCGTAACTGCCATGTTATTACACAGGTATGAGGGGTACTTATTGTAATGTGGAAGTTACTGATTGATTCTCTCTCTTACACAGTCCAACATGTTGAAGTTACTGATTGATTATCTCTCTTACACAGTCCAACATGTTGAAGTTACTGATTGATTCTCTCTCTCTTACACAGTCCAACACGTTGAAGTTACTGATTGATTCTCTCTCTTTTACACAGTCCAACATGTTGAAGTTACTGATTGATTCTCTCTCTCTTACACAGTCCAACATGTTGAAGTTACTGATTGATTCTCTCTCTTACACAGTCCAACATGTTGAAGTTACTGATTGATTCTCTTTCTCTCTCTTACACAGTCCAACACGTTGAAGTTACTGATTGATTCTCTCTCTCTTACACAGTCCAACATGTTGAAGTTACTGATTGATTCTCTCTCTCTTACACAGTCCAACAGCAGCAACTCCACCAGAGGAAGGATCGGCCACCACCCAAAAAGGTTTACCTCTTAACCTCAATTCAGTGTCTGGGCAATATTCATTATTCAGTCTTTTATGCCATCTGTTGATCAGTGATAATATAGCTAGACTATTAGACTACTGCCTGTAGTGTAGTACTGTCTTGGGGTCATTGTGGGTGCTGCATAGGGCTACCGTAGCCTGATCAAGACACACGTTGCTCCCAGAATAGGCCTGTAATCCTTCTTAATGACACCCCACATTGTCAATGGAGAGTGGATAGACGGACCGTTAGACTTTCCTAAGAGATTGTCTGAACTGCTTGTCTGAACACACTACTTTTCAATTTCAGTGCCAGACATGTTCCGCAAGCAATTCATTGATGTCATGTAGAATGTTTTCTTATATAATTGTATTCTGTATCACGTATAATACGCCTCTTTTTATTCATACTTTTACAGTATTTGTTTCTGGGTCCCTTCTTGTCTTCTTCTGTAGATGATGAAGTCATTGTCGTACAGCCAGACACCTTCCCAACCTTGCGAGGAGACGTTGACGTCATTCCTGTCACTACTGCAGAGCCAGCTGAGGAGGTCACAGAGATGGTCCCACCAGGGACTACTGACGATGTGACTGAAGATGCTGCCATCGACGTCACCTCAGAGACTGACGAGACGATACATGAGATCGGAGAGGACGCCACTACCGAAGCTGCCTTCGACGTCATCTCCGAAACAGCAGTTGAAGTCATCGCTGAGACCAGTGATGATGAGGCTGTCCAGGAGGTTAATATGGCTGCTGTTGAGGAAACATCCGATGCTACCTCAGATGACACTGTGGAGATCACATCTGAACCTATTGTCACCGTCATCCACGAGCTCATTGATGAGGTCATTGAGAAAATGGATGAGGAAGTAATCTCAGATACACCACACAATACTGTGGAGGAGGCAGAAGAGGCCGCAGCAGAGGTCCCACCAGAGGCTGCCATTGAGATCCCTATAGAGGTCCCATCAGAGGCTGCCATTGAGATCCCTGCAGAGGTCCCTTCAGAAGCTGTTATCGAGATCCCTGTTGAGGTCCCATCAGAGGCTGCCATCGAGATCCCTGTTAAGGCCACAGACAAGGATATCCCAGAACCTGAAATTAAATTTATTCCAGAAACTTATTTGGAGGACATTTCTGAAACCACTTCTGAAGCGCCTTCAGAGGCTGCCACAGATATCACGTCAGATACCATAGACAAGGAGATCACGGAAGCTGCTACAGAGGTCACTTCAGGCACCATAGATGAGGAGATTGCAGTGGCTGCCGTAGAAGAAGACGTCACTTTGGAGACCACTTCAGACATTGCTACCGAGGCAACATCAGAAGATACTACAGATGAGGATATTCCAATAGAATTAACTCCAGAAATTTATCCAGAGGACACTTCAGAGCCTGAAGCTGCCATGGAGATCCCTTCAGAGGATTCAGATGGAGACGTTCAGGAGCTCCCTGTCAAGGTCACCTCAGAGACTACAGTGGATGTTGCCCCAGAAGACACTGAAGAGGAGACCCCTGAGATTTTAGAGGACGCTATCTCAGATGCCACAACGCATTTGATACTCGAGGCTACCGAGGAGATCACTCCAGAGACTGTACTAGAGGATACTTTGGCCACTACTACTAATGAAGTGGTAATAGAGGTTGGTCCAGAGGAAGAAGTCACTCCAGAAACTTCAGTAAAGGCCATTCCAGAGGATGTAACAGAGATCACTGAAGAAGCAACATTAAAGGCTGAAGTCACTCCTGAGGCTGAAGTAGAGATGGAGGAAGTTACGGTGGAGGTCACCTCAGAAGCCACTTTGGATGTCACTCCTGAGGTTGAAGTAGAGGTAACTCCAGAATATGTAGTGGAGGAACCTCCAGAGGCTGAGGAGATTACAGAGGAAACTGCAGTAGAGGACAATCCTGAGGTGGAGGTAGAGGTAACTCCAGAGTCTCCTGAAGAGGTTCCTGAGGAAGCAGAAGAGGTCCCTTTGGAGACTGCAGTGGAAGACACTCCAGAGGCTGTAGAAGAAATCACCCCAGTGACTGTAGAGATAACTCCTGAAGCTGCTGTAGAAGACACAACAGAAACTGTAGAAGAAATAGTTTCAGAGAATCCAGAAAAGATAACACCAGAACCTTCAGAGGAGGATATTCCAGAACCTTCAGAGGATGAAATTCCAGAACCTTCAGAGGAGGAAACTCCAGAGGTTTCAGAAGGGGTCCCGTCTGAGGCAGTAGAAGAGATCATTTCAGAAGCTACAGAAGAGGCTTCCGAAGAAATCATTCCAGAAGCTACAGAAGAGGCTTCCAAAGAGATCATTCCAGAAGCTACAGAAGAGGCTTCCGAAGAAATCATTCCAGAAGCTACAGAAGAGGCTTCCAAAGAAATCATTCCAGAAGCTACAGAAGAGGCTTCCGAAGAGATAATTCCAGAAGCTACAGAAGAGGCTTCCAAAGAGATCATTCCAGAAGCTACAGAAGAGGCTTCCGAAGAGCTCATTCTAGAGCCTTCAGAAGCTGCAGCGGAGATTACTACAGAGGCTGCAGCTGAGTCCACTCCAGAGGCTAAACAGGAGGCTGCTGTGGCAATTACTCATGAAGTCACCACTGAAATGGGAGTTTTGATGGACACAGAGGAAAACAATAATGGCTATCGTTATAGGGTCACAGAAGAACCAGAAGAAACAAATGATGACTTCCTAGGGATTCAAGATATCATACAAGAGGTGGAAAACGCGGTAAGCAATGATGAGGTTATTATTATTGCAATCAATGAAATACAGAATCAATAATCGAATTATTACATCATAAAGGATAGAAGCCTTCTTAAACACACAATAAGAGAGGCGCATCAGCTATAGACTACAGGCACTGGCTACTGAAATGAATGAGAGTGAAGTGATATAGTAATGATGTGAGCTGTTTGTCATCTGTTTGTGTGTCCTGTGTTCAGCTGGGCAATGAGATCGAGGACATCATGATGAGGCCTTCCAGACCCATGAAGGAGCAGGTGGTGGAACTCAGCATCCAGCTGAAGGGAGAGAACTACAACGACGCCCTGAGAGACCCTTCTAGCTTCTACTACCAACGCGTGGCCAAACATTTTACCCATAAGGTACAGTACAGTTGGTATACTGCTGTCCCCATGCAGGCTCTTGGTAAAAGCAACTGTTTGGTCAACAGGCCTCATCCTTTTTGACACCCGCTTTTGCTTTTGTTTCCTTACTTTTGACAGTGTACAAAACATTAATGAGTTGCACTGCCTTTCGCCCTCAGAACAGCCTCAATTCGTCGGGACATGGACTCTACAAGGTGTCGAAAGCGTTCCCCAGGGATGCTGGCACCATGTTGACTCCAATACTTTCCGCAGTTGTGTCAAGTTGGCTGGATGTCCTTTGGGTGGTGGACCATTCTTGATACACACGGGAAACTGTTACGTTGCAGTTCTTGACACGCTCAAACCGGTGTGCCTGGCACCTACTACCATATCTCGTTCAAAGGCACTTAAATCTTTTGTCTTGCCCAGTCACCCTCTGAATGGCACACATACACAATCCATGTCTCAAATGTCTCCAGGCTTAAAAATCCTTCTTTAACCTGTCTTCTCCCCTTCATCTACACGGATTGAAGTGGATTTAACAGGTGATGTCAATAAGGGATCCATCTATGTCATGGAAAGAGCAGATGTTCCTAATGTTTTGTACACTCAGTGTATAGTACATTACATTATTAACTCTTGTGTGTGCAGAGTACAAACAGAAAGTTTGGAAGAGGTTGAAAGATATATTGTTTTTTTTCTACTGTATCTATTTACTGTAAGTAATCAGCTTTGAAATGTTGTGCTGTTTGTCTGGGCTTGCCGGCTATATACTGTATCCACTACAGAGCGAACAGGAAGAAAGCTGCCTGGAAAACTCAGAGGTACACCAGTCAGTGTGACAGCTCTTGAAATATGTCCTCTGCTGAGAACCCAAAGTGCTGGACGGTGTATTCCCATCGTTGGAAGTTGCCACCTCACATTTTGGGATTTCCTTCGGCAGAGACAGAGTTTATGTCAGAGCAGAGGCCATTAGTTAGAGACATGGGCTATGTCCCAAATGGCACCCTATTCCCTATATAGTGCAGTGCTTTTGACCAGGGCCTGATCAGAGCCCCATGGGCCCGCGTCAAAGGTAGTGCACTAAATAGGGAATAGGGTTCCATTTGGGACGCAGACATGCAGAGAGGATCAATAAGTCATCCTAATAGAAACAACAGGACAGAGCCTTACTGCTCCTGGCCAAGAGGAGAAAGAAGGGAGGTGGCACAGAGTCAGATTGGCACCATGGCTCTCTCCAGAGATCCTAGAGGATAGCCTTAGCACACAGACAGGCGGCACATGGACTTGGACAGGGGACTGACTTGATTTCTGTCGATTGATCATACTATGTGGTCCTGGACTGAGAATGATATTGCTAACAAGTGGCGTATGGCTCTGGGCCAGCACAGAGTAAAGGATTGACAGTATTGGGGTATACCTAGTCATGTCTGGAAAACAGAGTGGATATTTTTCAAACTCCAACTTGACATTGTAATTCGCTAAGTTTCATTTTCATCATTCTCATCTAGATTGAAGATGCACTTGAAAGGTTACCAGGATTCAAGAAGGTCTTTGTAGTTGAATTCAGGTAAGCTTCATTAACAGCTATAAATCCATTGATCTACTACCTATAAATCATACTATTTCATTTAACAGGCAAGATGCTATTTCAATATCAAGTTCTAATATTTATTTGTCTTTTCCAAATGTGTCCAGGCCTCAGAAGGACCTCCAAAGGTAAGCATATTTTCCTTCTTCTGACACAAGTAACTGTCTCACCAGGTTTCCATCCAATTGGCGACAGATGTTCATGCGGATATTCTAAAATCTGCATAAAAACCACATGCTATTTTTTATCTTTTCCATCAAATTGACTTGTTGTGGATAAAACGATGTGCTTGATGATGTAGTGCACATTAAAATAACTTTTGCGGTTAAATTCCCATCTACCGAATAAAAAATAAATGGGTTTCCGTCACATTTTCAACTCTACTGATGGTTTTGTCACAGCAAATGTTACGTTACATAGCGAATGTGCCCACTATGGTTTTGGCATGTGCGCTCTAGCCAACAGTTAGCATACAGTATACAGTCAGCTAGCATACAGTAGTATACAGTAGGCTACTTTATTGATGAGATTATTATGGATAAGAGCAATACTTTTCCAAGTTGTAGTAGGAGGACCACACAAGTAATCATCGCGTTTACACCGCCATTTCTCGCATAATACATTTTAACGACACAAAAAGATCCCACCTTGTCTAGCGTATTTTGTTTCGTCAACATTTGGAACGTTTACCGACAAATTTGCCTTTCCCATTAGACCGTCGTGACATTTTTTATCCAACATGTACTTTACTCGCATAAAAAGGTTGGATGGAAACCTGGTTACTGTTATTGCGTTCACATGTCTGGATTTATGACTCATAAATCCATGACAACGACCACTGATACGCACATTACAGTTCATGACGTCCTGGAGAGTGATGTAATAACAGGCTAAATACCTGTGTGAAAGTGCACTGGAGCATGATAAATCCATCTCATTGCGATGCTATCACTCCCAGTTCAACCATTATGACTGCACAGTTGAGCTAACCCAAATCCCACAGAGTCCATCTCACATGTACATCTACTAATGGGATATACATGTGCATCTGTGTCTGGCTGAGCCAAAGAACCAAGCCTTTACTGTACCTACTGTATGGTTTGATGTTCTCTGCTTGCTTGGCACAGTCTTCAGATCAGTTGTTCCACACTATGTTTACGAGAATTACAAGCATACTTCCAATGCCTGTCAATCATTATAGCTCAGTGCATCGGCACCACTGCAGACACGAAAAGCACAAAAATCAAAGCTAAAATGTTTGATTCCTTTTGGCCACATGTCACATTTGAACTTCTATGTGTTTTTTATTAGTTGGCATCATGCCATTTTTACCTGCCTGTCTTTATATTGCACAAGTGCTCTGCAATGGACTTTGCTCCAATTGACCGTTAATGGCCTTACGATGGTCAATCGCCCCCTAAGTGGGGTAAGCCCCATCGCTCACCGCGCTGGCCACCTGCCGGTCATGATGATGAGATTAAAGGCAGAGCTTTATGACAAGATCAATTTTCTCTCTTGACTGTCAACCAGCGGAGGCTCCAGGCCAGATTCCCTCGCAGGTTTAGCCCCGCACTGGTTTCCCCTTACAAACTGGCCTTGTGGAAAACTGCATGTTGCGAGCACAGTGAGGCCTTTAAAACACCTTCGGCTCTCCACAGTTTGTTCTGCAGGTCATATAAAGCCCTGTTAGCATGCAGCCTTTAAACAGTAGCTGCCAGGGAATTAGAGCTGAGGGAGAATTGGGCTGTCAGGGGGGAGAAAGTGAAGATGGTCATAAACTGACCAGGTTCTCCCACACTAGGCAGGCAGTGGAAATATTATGCCTCAGAACGCAGTATCTAGATCAGGATATAGCTTCTCCAAGCTAGGACCTCTTTAAGCTAGGACCTCTTTAAGCTAGGACCTTTTTGAGCTAGGACCTCTTCAAGCAAAGGACCTCTTTAAAGGTCCAATGTAGCCGTTTCTATCTCAATATCAAATCATTTCTGGGTAACAATTAAGTACCTTACTGTGATTGTTTTAAATTAAAATAGAAAAAAAAAGAAACAAAAATAGCTTCTTAGCAAATAACAATTTCTCAAGCGTGAATTTCGCTAGGGCTGTTTGGGAGTGGTCTGAGTTGGGAGGGGAAAACTGAAAACTAGCTGTTATTGGCAGAGAGGTTTGGAACTCTCTTTCTTATTGTTCTATTAACTAATTTATCGCATGGTGATGTAACCATGGACAGGCATAAGCTCCATACCACCAAATCAGGCAGTCTTTTCAAACAGCTCTTATACTAAAAGGGCATTATCATAATTTCACAGTATTATTCCAACCTCATTGTGTGGAAATATCTATAAAACACAGGAAAATCACGTTTTTGACTGCACTGGGCCTTTAATCTAGGACCTTTTTAATAATTAAGCTAGGACCTCTCCAAGCTAGGAACTCTTTAAGCTAGGACATCTTTAAGATAGGACCTCTTTAAGCTAGGAGCGCTTTAACCAACCCTGGTGAGTAAACTCACTAACTTTCCTTAATTTCTATGACTTGTTTTAAGTTTTTCAGCTCTTATAATGTTTTGTTATGTCTAACATAACATGATGTCTTACTGTGTGGCATCTATTCAACAGACTAGGATTAAATTGTGATCGCTGTGAGAGCATTTTAAAATAGTGTTACAATGTATTATGACTGCATTATAATGCATTATACCTGTGGGCTCTAAGTAAAGTGTAACAATCATTTCTACTTGAGACATTTGAGCCATGCCCAGCAAACATATCCAAGATGAGAGCACCCCTCTCTGTTCCTCAATGTGTCTCAATGTCTCTCTCTGTTCCTCAATGTCTCTCTGTTCCTCAATGTCTCTCTCTGTTCCTCAATGTATCTCTCTGTTCCTCAATGTGTCTCTCTCTGTTCCTCAATGTCTCTCTCTGTTCCTCAATGTGTCTCTCTGTTCCTCAATGTGTCTCTCTGTTCCTCAATGTCTCTCTCTCTGTTCCTCAATGTGTCTCTCTCTGTTCCTCAATGTGTCTCTCTCTGTTCCTCAATGTCTCTCTCTGTTCCTCAATGTGTCTCTCTGTTCCTCAATGTCTCTCTCTGTTCCTCAATGTGTCTCTCTGTTCCTCAATGTGTCTCTCTGTTCCTCAATGTGTCTCTCTGTTCCTCAATGTCTCTCTCTGTTCCTCAATGTATCTCTCTGTTCCTCAATGTGTCTCTCTGTTCCTCAATGTGTCTCTCTGTTCCTCAATGTGTCTCTCTCTGTTCCTCAATGTCTCTCTCTGTTCCTCAATGTGTCTCTCTGTTCCTCAGTGTGTCTCTCTCTGTTCCTCAATGTGTCTCTCTGTTCCTCAATGTGTCTCTCTCTGTTCCTCAATGTGTCTCTCTCTGTTCCTCAATGTGTCTCTCTGTTCCTCAATTTCTCTCTCTGTTCCTCAATGTGTCTCTCTCTGTTCCTCAATGTGTCTCTCTGTTCCTCAATGTGTCTCTCTGATCCTCAATGTCTCCCTCTCCATCAACTCAATATTTCTCTCTATCAAGTCAATATTTCTCTCTTTATCAACTGAATGTCCTTCCTCTAGGGGTATGTTGGCCGTGGTAGTCCACTACGCTGTGACTCTGGAGGTGGACGGGGCAGGTATCAGTAACGAGACCATGAACTACATCAACCTCCAGTCCAATATGGTGGAGAAGTCTTACCGTGACGGTGTTGAACGCCCCACCGTGGTTTACACCATCACAGACTTCAGAAACTACATCACTGAAGCCCTGCACAAGGAGAACTTCATGAGCAACACCACTCTGGACGTATACCCTGACTCACGGCAGCTAGAGCCCGGTAGGCCAACAGACCGGCTAAACTGTAGATCTAGTACAATTAAGTGTGTTAGTCCTGTAACTAAATCTTGTGCAGAGTGGAGCGCTCCAGGAACAGGGTTGGTGACCACTGCTAAATAAGGCTTTAGTGCTGTGATTTGTGTGAAAAGGTAAAAGGATTCTCCAGTTGATTTGTGTATGACTGTTTTATTTTCCAGTTGATAACTTGTTTCTGGGAGGGAGACCCACCACCAAACCGGAAGAGTCCAATGACATGATGGTGAGTGAGTGTCAGTTCACTGCTACACATTCTCTTGAGGAACGTATTGCATACGTTTAACAGTATAGTCAACTGAATATGTAGTTGATGACATTGCAAGTTCACTGTGTGTTGGTTTGTAGGCTACGCTAAAATGAATGCAATGAAAGTCATTAGTTGCTAAAGTCGCTTTGAAAAATTGAAGTCATACCCAGCTGCCTCAGTTCAGTAAATGTCTGTAAAAATAGTCAAGTCCATTTTCCACAAAACTATTCTCAAGACGCAAGTTAGCATGCCATATTAAGCAAATAGTTGTGTTCAAGAAATATAGATAGAAATCTGGTGGAAATATGACAATTTATTATGCCGAATGATCCGCTTTTCTCACAGACTGCACTGTAATTACAAAGACACATTTGACTGGAAACAAACTTAATAATCTCAGAATCTACTCGCTCTGTTTTTTCCCCTCACACTTTGACAACACTGGCACTTTTTTCTCATCCCTTATTAATCTTATTTACAATCTTGTTTTGGCTGAATGCCGTTGTCCAATTCGTCTTTAGGACCATGTGTTCTCTCTCATTCTCTCAGGTAATGGCAAGCTTCCTAGGGTCTAACACAGGCACATGGCAGTTACTGGTAGTTAAAGAAAAGCACATCTGAAGTCCATTCGTTATTAAATGGGTCCACTTTGACCGAACAGAACTTTATTGTTATCCTTAGGGCATAACAGAACGTTTTGTTTATCCTATGGTGAAAGACAATGAAGCGCTGCTCATTTGGATGACCTGCTCTACTGATGTGAACACAACCCAGTTTGACAGTCACAGCCCATTTTCATTGTGGAAGATGAAGTGTGTGTGTGTGTTGCTCTGTCTCTTGTGCAGGAGATACTAATATAGAACGTATGGTGAGGTTAAAAGGCCTGTGCTGTTGCATTCATTCATATAGGTCATATATTGCTAGCGATGTATATGTGAATTTCACTCAGATTAAGTTTGTTATGAAGTATTTTGTGTTTCTGAATATTTACTTTGTGAAGCACACATATCTAGGGCTACATCTGTATCTGCTACAACTCAACCTTGTGAGAGAGAAAAACACAACTAATCTGCAGCTGCAGCTGGGGAGGCACAGAGGGTCGGCTTTTGTGTCCAAATGTATTTTCTGCGTGCCAGTGCAATTTCTTTCCACTGAAGTTAGTCCGGATAGAAGAAGGATGAATTTCCACTGTAATTCATTGAAGATGTTGAGGATCATTGTTTTCCACTTTGACTTCTATAAGGACTGTTTAATGAATGCGTGATCATGTCTGTCATCCTATGCATGTGCTTTTTGATCTGTGCATGGGAAAATGTAGGTATTTCTGCGTTTATGTAGGCATGGGTGGTGTAGGTCTATGTATGTCTATTTAGGTCTATGTAGGTCTATGTAGGTCTATGTAGGTCTATGTAGGTCTATGTAGGTCTATGTAGGTCTATGTAGGTCTATGTAGGTCTATGTAAGTCTATGTAGGTCTATGTAAGTCTATGTAGGTCTATGTAGGTGGGTGTGTGCATCCTTGGGGCATGGCCAGCCCAGGTGTGTTTTCCTGTCAATTCCCGTATAGATAGAGGATTTAGGATTATTTTCCCTCTAGCCTTCCTAATCCACGTATATTCTTGGCATTTTCTCTGTCTGCCGTGTCTGCCAGAATCCCGTTTGGGCTAAAGCTAGACAACAATACACGTGGACGTTCATTTATGTGTGAGTGACTAGAATTCTACGTACGTTTCTCTTACGTTAGTAGAATGTAAGAATAATTTCATTGCACTTTTATCAGCCTTTGTCCTTTCTTCCTGGTGTGTCAGGACAATGTTTTGGCTGCAGAGAAACCACCAGATGCTCCTGGCCAAGACTTGGATGTCAGCGACATCTTCCTGAAGAAGGATGATTTTCTGTTTCCTGTGGACTCGTTGAAGGGCTCCGGGAGCATGGTGGCCAGTGAAAATGATGTGTTCATTCTGGATGAAACCACCTTGCCACCCAGCACTCTCCCTGCAGAGAGTGAGCAGTCCTGTTTCTACCTCCTAAACCACGACACGACATTCACATCACCTTGTATACTGTCAAGCATACAGTAACACACAACCCAAATAGAGTTTTGAAACCATTTATCCATTGTTTATCTCATGGATTCTCCTATATTCTGTGTTTTCACTCTGTTTCCCTTCCCTGAAGAGAGGGGGATTCCAGGTTCAGTAATAAACCATGTGTTTTTCCTGTTTTTCTAGATAATGGAAATATTGAAGAAGAGGGATTTATTCTCAGCAACACTCAGCAAAGCTCTGATACTTCCAATGGGGATGGTGTGGGTGGTGCTGGAGGCTCCTTTATCTCCTCCCCTTCACAACCGCAGACCACAGAGGCCCCGGTCCCGGCACCTCCCAGAGTAGATCCAGATTTGGATGCTGGCTCTGGCTCTGGCTTCTCGGGGGATGACCAAGGGGCTGACGTCTTCCCATGGTTGCCTGTGACAACTGAGGAGACGGACTACGTGGAGGAGGAAGGGGAGGAGGAGGGTGATTCTGTGGTGGGGGAGGTGCATTTACCAGATCCAGAAGTGGAACCGAAGGAGGAAGAGAAGAAGGAGGAGGAGAAGAAGGAGGAGGAGAAGGGGGAGGAGATCACCGAATCTGTCCTGACTGAATCTCCAGAGGATATGAGTCCTTTTGAATCCCATCCAGAATCTGCCCCAGCTGAGGAAGAGCCACAAGGGCCTTTCTTGGACAGACTGCCTGTGACCCAGGACATTAGTACTCGACCTGACTACACGACCACCGCTGAAGCCCCTGTGTTCTGGACCGCAGAGACCCTGACCGTGGAGCTCTCCATACAGACACTGGAGGCATCTGGGATGTATGACGATTATTACCCAAGTGAACCGTTCACCATCATAGCACCAGTCACTGATGATCCCTATCGTCAGTATTACACCACTGACGCCCGCGTGTTGGAAGGGCCAGCAGCTGAGACCCATGGTTCTGTTGAAGTGCTGTCAGAGCCAACCAGTCCAATAGAGGTTGAACTCCCCACAGTCGCAGAGTCACCTACCTTCATAGACGTGGAGCTGTTCACAGTCAAAGAGTCCATCTTCGATATGATCACCGCCGAACCACCAGAGATCGAAGCCTTCACCGACAGACCTTTACTCTTGGTGCCCGATCCTCAGGATGAAGGTGGAGAGGTGGAGATCTTGGAGGAACAGGGGGCGAAGGTCGCAGAGCCCTTGGCCAGACTACTCCCAGCCCTTGACATCTCAGAGGAGGACCTAGCTGAGGATGAAATCCTTGTTGTGGCTGTAGCTACAGCAGCCCCGGAGGTCATAGAGTCTCATAGCATCTTATCCCCTGAGAAGGAATCTCCCTTCACTCGTATAGCCGACTCTGTACCAGAAGAGGAGGAAGCCACACACCATCCAGCCACCACAGAAATAGCACCACATGATGACATTGAAGTTGACCATGAAACATTTGAAATCTCTGAGACACCTGAAATCGCCCCAACGATCCTACCTCCATTCTTCCAGCCCACATTCAGACCCACAGAAAACCTGCTTGAGGCAGCAGAAGAAGAGTCAGATTTTAGCATTGAAGATGTTAGCATTGAAGATGGAGATGTTAGCATTGAAGATGGTGATGTTAGCATTGAAGAAGGATATTTTAGCATTGACGATGGAGATGTTAGCATTGAAGATGGAGATGTTAGCATGGCGCTAGCACCCACTTCCCCAGATCACGACACATATGACCTAGAAGTCGGCACTTCAATCCACGCGGTTGAAGACTACGGACCAGACTCCCCCACGCCGGAAACTGACCTCACCTTCAACGTGTACGACGGGTCGAGTCACATGGACGGGGACAGCAGCGGGTACTCCAGCATCGCCCATGGGTCAGACGTGGGCAGCATCGCCATGGCGACCAGCCCTGGCAAGGATCTGATGGTGTTCTTCAGCCTAAGGGTGACCAACATGATGTTCTCTGAGGACCTCTTCAACAAGAGTTCCACAGAGTACAAAGCCCTGGAGCAGAGGTTCCTCGAACTGGTATAGGATAAATGGGGTTATCTGTGATAACATTGGGGTATGGGGGCCATAATTGTAATATTGCAAGTTCAGTATGCATAGAGTAGGCCTACTCAAGTCCATTTTACAATTTTCATAGCTGTGAATATTGTAATATGTTACACATAATGGATTCTGTAGTAGGCTTCAAAGAACTTTACATTTAACTGTTTCCATTGTTATTGGATTTGTCACAAGTCATACAGTACCTATGGGAGACAGTATATATTGGTGTTTTGGGAAGCATAAAGTAACAATGTCTCTTTCTCGTCTGTAGCTCGTCCCTTACCTGCAGTCCAACCTCAGCAACTTCCAGAACCTGGAGATCCTGAATTTCCGTAATGGCAGCATCGTGGTGAACAGCAGGGTGAAGTTTGGGAAGCCCGTCCCTCGGGGCGTCACCAACACTGTCTACCTTATCCTAGAGGACTTTGCTAACTCAGCCTTCCAAACCATGAACCTCGCCATAGACAAATACTCACTGGATGTGGAATCAGGTAAACCTCAGCTGCAAACAGATACTTGAGTCTTGAGTGATGTTACTCTGCAGTGAAATGTATGAAATCATGTCAACAAGTACTCATTGTTGTGAAGCATTTATTGACATTAATGCCCATTTGGTGGAGGATCTTCTATAGCTGAGGTTTCACAATTGGATCTTGAAAGATGTGTAAGTCGACAACAGAAACAATGGCACGCTTGGTGTCAACTTAGCCCCTTGCCAAACTGACCTAACCCAAAGTTCTCACATTAACACATCAGCAGGAGATTGCTGTATTTTCCCAACACGTTGTAACTCAAAGAGCCCACGAAAATAACATAATGATCTCAATGTGTCAATGACTTTGATACTGTAGCCCCGGGGACGGTTATCTCATGTGGTTGACACTTCTGTTTGGGCTAGGGTTGCAAAATTCTGGGAACTTTCAATCCATTTCCTGGTTTTACCGACATCCCGGTTGGAGGTTTCCTGGAATCAGGAGGGAATAAGCAGGAAATCCGTAAACCTCCAACCAGGATTTCTGGAAGACCTGGGAATTTTGCAACCCTCATCTGTGACCAGCAACAGTACTGTACGGTATGTGTCATACTGAGGATGAGTCACCATGGTGTTATTCTTTAAGGCCGGCTGGGTCATTACAGTATAATCTGTGTTGTTGTAATCTGTCTGAGCCAATCATAATGCTTAATCATCATGTCACACATTACTGTAAGGTCTCCACAGGGCGTCGGATTAGAAAAAGACAAAGGTATTTGTGGGGTTAAGGGTTACGTTTAGAGTTAGAGAGTTAACGTTCGAGTCAGAGTTAGGGCAAGAATACTTCCCTCCTTTCTAGAAAGGTCCGATAGTGACAACTAAAGTGGTCTGGGCACGTCATCATCAGCCAATTTACGACTAAAGGCTGAAACATTCTAACATATTTTTTGTGGTGTATTTATGTGTTATTTTAGAATTAGTGGGTTTTAACCACCATCACCAGCACAGTCAAACCCCCATCCCTGAGTCGCCAGGTTCTCAGACGGTAGAACTGAGGTCACACAAAACAAGTTTGTTTATGTTTTCTTTGTCATTGCCAGGCAACCAGGCAGACCCCTGCAAGTTCCAAGCATGTAATGAGTATTCGATGTGCACGGTGAACCGCTGGTCCGGGGAGGCGGAGTGTGTGTGTGACGCGGGTTACTTCAGCGTGGACGGACTGCCGTGCCAGAGTATCTGTGGCCTGCAGGAGGACTTCTGTCTCAACGATGGGAAGTGTGATGTCATCCCTGGCAAGGGAGCCATCTGCAGGTGGGTGGGAGTTTAGTTTAGGACACTGACATGATGAATTCACTATAGGGTTGTGTGTGTGTTTGTGTGTGTGTGTGTGTGTTTGAGATGCATATGGTTCTAATGCTGTTCTGTGTGGTTCTAGATGTCGTGTAGGAGAGAATTGGTGGTACCGCGGGGAACACTGTGAGGAGTTTGTGTCAGAACCTCTGGTGGTGGGCATCGCCATAGCGTCAGTGGCTGGCTTCCTATTGGTGGCCTCTGGGGCAATCTTCTTCCTGGCCAGGACTCTGAAGGACAGTTATGACAAGGAGGATTCAGAGGACCCTCTACGGTAAGCAGCACACTCATAAACCCAGAGGGAGTATGAGTAAATCAAATTATTTACCTGCCCTCTTGTATTTACAGAGAAATTACAATGTGCAATGGACTTTAAGATATCACTGCAATGTTGCTTGTAGAGTGATGTTATATGATAATATCTTGCCTTAGCTTGCCTAATAACTAGGTAGTAGTACTTAATTGGGTCAAGAAACATAGAAATACTATACTGGTGTGTAGACAGACAAAAATTGTAGATGCTTGTCCTGAAATGTTTTGGTTAAGTGAAGCTTTGTGCATTGTTAACGGGGTGCTTGACCCAGAATCTGTCTGAGAGAAAGAACTATGTGAGCGTGATTAGCGTCTCAGACTTCCTTGGCAGCCATGTTGTTTTTGATTAACCAATCAGGACATATTTATTGAGAAGTATCAAAACAGTGCTGATTGTGTTTAGAAGCCCCGAGTTGCAGGATCAACAGTATGTGTGTGTGTGCGTGCGTGCGTGCGTGTGTGTGCATGTGTGCATATGTGCATGCATCCGTGTGTGTGTGTGTGCGTGCGTGAATGTGTGTGTGATTGTTTTATGAATCAGTGTGTGCCTCGGCAGCTGCCCTGAGTTTAGCCTGCCTGCTTCTAGTGACACAAGGCCTGGTTTCGACAGATAGACCTTGGGCCGATGCCCATGTTAGCACCATGGGGCCTTCTAGCAGGCCCGCCCTGCAGTCTCCCACTGTTACCAATAAACAGTCCACAGACTCTTAGATTGGACTCCTGACCAGTTCAGTGTGTTTCTCATATGACTGTTTAGTTCATAGAACATGGCATACTGTATAATGTAAAGACTGTATCTGATGAAGCTGCAGTGCACAACACTTCCTGTTCAAAGGTTGGAACATATGTTACCAAAACGTTTCCAAAAGGGAAATTACATTCCTGTTTGTGCCGATTGTGTTTTATTTAGTACAGTGCAGATTGTCAGATGTTGCTTATTACAGATATGGAGCAGCAGCTGAAATGAGCTACAGGCAGCGGGGAACTCACAATGAAACTTCATCTTTGGTAGGAATGTGTGTGAGAGAGAGGGCCTTAAATTGAATTGAGAGAGGGATAGAGAGAGAGGGATAGAGAGAGAGAGAGAGAGAGAGAGAGAGAGAGAGAGAGAGAGAGAGAGAGAGAGAGAGAGAGAGAGAGAGAGAGAGAGAGAGAGAGAGAGAGAGAGAGAGAGAGAGAGAGAGAGAGAGAGAGAGAGAGAGAGAGAGAGAGAGAGAGGAGAGCGATACATGTCATTATAAGTAAAGCTCAGGACAGTGCAACAGAATAACAGAATGTGTCTGTGTGTTGCATGCCAACGTAGGTTGATATCAGGTTGGTATCCTGTTTAGAGTGGACAGGACACAATGTCACTTCCCACCCACTGGCATAGGTCATCACTTATCGTGCCAACCCCACACGACCGTGGGTGTGTTTGTACGTGTCACTCACTTGGCCGCACCGCACGTATAGGCTGAAATGTTGTTGTTATTGTTCATCATTATTACCGGTAAGTAGATAGAACGCATCTTTCTCAGTGGTGTGACATCAGGCCCATTTCTATCGCACCAGAGAAAATGTTCCTGCTTCCATCGTTTTCAACAAACAACTTAATAATTCTGCTCCTCCCTGTTTTACAGGGATCGGGACAGTGTGCCATCCTTAGAGAGAGCCACCAAGTTCAACCCCATGTATGAGAGTGATGTGGCCACCGCAGAGTACTACAGACGGTACGAAGACGACGTCCCGCACCACAGTACGGGCAGCGCAGACACCTCTGTGGACGTCTGCAGTGACGAGATACTCCACATCTACGACAACTCCGAGCTCACCAGAGAGGTACGTAGAGGCTGTCTGAGTGGTTGACTGCTGGGAGGACTGTAAGGGAGAGGCAGAGGGAGTTGGCAACAGACTGGCTCTATGGGGAATGTATAGGCAGATCATTCCAGGGATCTTAACGTTGTTAATGATCTTTTTCAAGTAAATACAAGACGGTTATAGCTAAAGTGTAAAGTACTGTTAAACTGTTTGTACTCATATGGTAATTATACACTGGAGTTCATTATACATACATGTAGTTAGGTAATATGAAGTGTTACCAGAGAGCTTTATCAACAATCAACTGCAGGCCTAAATAAGGCACCGTAACACGTGTGTATGAGATTCTATTTTCACCCTGAGTCTTCAGCTGCAGTGCTTATGGTGGAAGAGGAGCACTAGCCCAGACACCAGCCGTGGGCAGGCAGTATGGAAACCAACACAAATCCATCCGCCCTTACATCAACCCCTAATGTTACATCACTCTCTCTCTCTCTCTCTCTCTCTCTCTCTCTCTCTCTCTCTCTCTCTCTCTCTCTCTCTCTCTCTCTCTCTCTCTCTCTCTCTCTCTCTCTCTCTCTCTCTCTCTCTCTCTCTCTCTCTCTCTCTCTCTCTCTCTCTCTCTCTCTGCAGCAAATTCAGGATCGCCTAAGGATAATTGAGCTGTACGCCAAAGACCGTCAGTTTGCAGACTTTGTACAGCAGCATCAAGTGTAAGTTGCTGCTACTCAGTGGTGTAAAGTACTTAAGTTAAAATACTTGAAAGTACTACTTAAGTAGTTTTTTTTGGGTATCTGTACTTTACTTTACTATTAATATTTTTGAAAACGTTTACTTTACTACATTCCTAAAGAAAATGATGTACTTTTTACTCCATACATTTTCCCTGACACCCAAAAGTACTCGTTACATTTTCAATGCTAGGCAAAACAGGAAAATTGCCTAATTCACACACTTATCAAGAAAACATCCCCGGTCATCCATGCTGCCTCTAATGTGGCAGACTCACTAAACACGCTTCGTTTGTAAATTATGTCTGAGTGTGGGAGCATGCTATCCGTAAATTAATAAAACAAGAAAATGATGCCGTCTGGTTTGCTTTATATATCGAATTTGAAATTATTTATACTTTTACTTTTACTTTTGATACTTAAGAATATTTTAGCAATTACATTTACTTTTGATACTTAAGTATATTTGAAACCAAATACTTTTAGACTTACTCAAGTAGTATTTTACTGGGGGACTTTCACTTTTTCTTTAGTCTTTTTCTATTAAGGTATCTTTACTTTAAGTATGACAATTGGTACTTTTCCCGTCTGTCTGTCTGTCTGTCTGTCTGTCTGTCTGTCTGTCTGTCTGTCTGTCTGTCTGTCTGTCTGTCTGTCTGTCTGTCTGTCTGTCTGTCTGTCTGTCTGTCTGTCTGTCTGTCTGTCTGTCTGTCTGTCTGTCTGTCTGTCTGTCTGTCTGTCTGTCTGTCTGTCTGTCTGTCTGTCTGTCTGTCTGTCTGTCTGTCTGTCTGTCTGTCTGTCTGTCTGTCTGTCTGTCTGTCTGTCTGTCTGTCTGTCTGTCTGTCTGTCTGTCTGTCTGTCTGCTTACTGTCTGTCTGTCTGTCTGTCTTCTTACTGTCTGTCTGTGTGCTCAGATGGTAAATGGAAGTGGGTATAGCCAGACTACAGTAGGCTGGCCCACCTGATACACTAAACCTTCCGCTAGCTGCAGATGATGTACTTTCAGTGTAGCGCTGAGTGGTTAGTGCTGAGCGGTTAGTGCTGAGCGGTGAGCCAGGGTTCAGACTGTGAAATCTCTCCTTACCTTGGGGTTGGGAGGACAGGACAGGACAGGACACACGTCCTCTGTATGGTCACGGTCACACCAGACCTTGGAGAGGGAACACAGTAGACTAGAACGCAACAGACTACAGAGGCCTTTCTGTCTGGCCTGGTCTGTCTGTCTGGCCTGGCCTGTCTGTTTGTCTGTGGTGTGACTGGAACAGGATACACACTTCATACAGTATAAGAACCTCTATACAGGAAGCGTCTCCAGTCCAGACTAACAGGCTACCTGTTCCAAAGCCATTAGTGGAGCTATTTAGACCTTCAGTTGTAGAGTTTCTCTTTCACTGGCCTTGTGTCAGCTCAGTTATGGTCTGCATCCCTACAAAGTGCACTATGTTTTTTACCAGAGCCTATGGGCCCCGGTCTGAAGTGGTGCACTTTATAAGGAATAGGGTGCCATTTGGGATGCAGCCATGGTCCGTCTCTTTCTATTGAAGGTTCTAGAGTGCGCAGCAAGTCAGACAGAGACACAAGCAGCTGGGGCCGTGGGGGCGTCAGTCATTCACCTGTTCCAGGTATTGAGTTCCAGACAAAAACACCACTGCAGGATGGCCAAATACTGGTTAAGTTCCTTCCCAGCTGTAAACAGTGGAAAAGGAGAAGAGTTGAGACAGTCAGAACCGGGATAGCCAGGACGGTCAGTTCAGGTACACTTCTGATCTAGAGATACTTCGGCCAGTCTGCTGTACAAAGAGAAGACAGAGTCTTTGTGAAAGGCAGATGAAATGAAACCCAGTAAGGATAATAGGTTGTGGGCCTGTGTAGAGCCAGCCAGAGGAGGCAAACAGACCAAGAGAAAGGAGCGGGTTGGAGACGGTTCATAGGCCGCATCAAACAACACTAATTTGTCTTTGAGACAGAAAAAGAACATTTGAAAGTTGACATGCATCCCCAGGGTTTATGTATTGGGTACGGTAGTGTGATTTGTGTGCCATTTTGGGCCACATCAGTCACTGTCAAAAGGCTCCATCTAATCTACTCCTGTTGTGTGTGTGCTAACAGAGCGATGGACAGAAGAGCGAGCTCTGAAACATAGCAACGCTGGAGAGCCAGCTGATCACTGTGAACCTCAAGGTACTTTTTCTTTGATTCCTGTCTAGAACGGTCATGGAATAGCTTGTCTTAAATATACTTTTATACTATATTGTCATTGATTCCAATAGGCAATGTGTAGGTGTTGCGATATTGGCTGTAGATGGTAGTAAGCCACAGTGTGTTCTCTTAGCTGGGTTTGATAGCTATAAACTATCAACATTTAAACTGTTAACCTCCCTTCTGACAGACTACAAACGATCTACATTTAAACTGTTAACCTCCCTTCTGATATACTACAAACTGTCAACATCTAAACTAACCTCCCTTCTGATAACTACAAACTATCGACATTTAAACTGTTAACCTCCCTTCTGATATACTACAAACTGTCAACATCTAAACTAACCTCCCTTCTGATAACTACAAACTATCGACATTTAAACTGTAAACCTCCCTTCTGATAGATTAAACTATCGATATTTAAACTGTAAACCTCCCTTCTGATAGATTACAAACTATGTACATTTAAACTGTAAACCTCCCCTCTGATAGATTACAAACTGTATACATTTAAACTGTAAACCTCCCTTCTAATAGATTACAAACTGTATACATTTCAACTGTAAACCTCCCTTCTGATAGATTACAAACTATGTACATTTAAACTGTAAACCTCCCTTCTGTCTTTCCTTTCAGAAACATGCCTTTGTCTTTGACTTGAGAAAGAGGAAAGTATCTTCTGTTGCCATGGTGCTTCTGATGGACTCTGCAGAATGACCAGATGAAGAGGATGGATATTTAAAAGAACGTCTTCTGTATGAGGCGTGATGTGCTGTTGCAACGTGTCACTGACTCTATTTCTATGACCTGACTTTTTTCTAAAGTTGGAGTGTATTGTAAATACTTTTATTTTTGTTGTTTCATTTTTTTCTTCGGTCCTCACAGCCATCACCTTATCCTATGAGCTAGCCTCCTGCTCAGCTAGCCATCAAACATCTAGATACAGTTACTGTCAAAAAGGTTCTCTGCACTGTTCCTCCTACTTCATTTGTTGTGTCCTCAGTTAGTTTGGACGTGTGGGTCCCTTCCTGCTCTGTTCTCCCTAAACATGGTCTTCTTCTTCTTCAGTGCCTTCACTTGGTTTCAGTTAGCATTGTGGGGTGTTGTGTTGTGTCCTGAAAACGTGACGCGGCTGCTGGCAGGACCCTTGAAGTTCACTGGATGTCACTGGAAGGCTAATGTCCTGCATGGAAACTAACTAACTACTGGTTGAATCAACGTTGTTTCCACGTCATTTCAACCCCAAAATTCAATGTGATGAAGTTGAATCCCCATGGAAAACTGTTTGGAATAGAAGAGACATCAAGAGAATTTCGTATTTTTTTCACCCATCTTTTAACCTAAATCCCCAATGACATGGTGAGATTTTTTGTTGATTTCACATTGAATTCACGATAGTTGACAACTCAAACCAAATGTAAATCAATCAACTGACATCTGTGCCCAGTGGGTACTGACTGGATGGCACAGGCTAGCGCGATATAGCCCACCACTGAAATGATGAAATATCCTGGTTGCTGTATTTACTTGAACATGATTTGTAGATAATAAATGTAGACATAAATTGATACTGTATTTAACTGTTGGAATGAGTATAGATTGATTAACTGGAATTGTGATTGTTAGTAACCCCTCTTCGCCATACCCAATAGCCCATGAAGACATCGGAGTTTTCTAATTTCTCAAATCTGATATCTGCTGCTTTGGGTTAGTCCACGTATCCATGGCGATCCCAAGCCTTTGTATATATCAGGAGTCGACTGTATTCATCTATATGTTTTGATGAACCAAATGTCCTCAACCCGTTGAAAAAGGGGTTAAATGTGTACGTTGTCTCTTGATGTGTTTTCTATGTTTTTTTCATAGTTCGAGATTAACAGGACAATGGTGTTATGACCTGTGTTGTGTATGTTAGACTTACTGGTTGAAAGCCAACAGACACTTTCTGTAATAAAATGTTAATATTTTTTACAATATTATAATGCATATGCCATTTTATCAAGCAAATCTATATTTAGCAAGTGTTGATATCATTGTACACTGAGTATACCAAACATTAGGAACACCTTCCTAATATTGAGTTGCTGTACAGTATTGGTTTGTTCTGGGCTGAAA